AGACTCATCCAGATTTCTCCTTAACCTCCTATAAATGCACAACCTCTCCTTTTTAATTTATAGCATCAAGAAATCTACAAACAAGCAGCAGTCAAGAAAGTAGTGTTCTTATTCTTAGTTGAACAAGGAAGAAAGAGGTGGCAATGATTCCAAGCTTTTTTGGCAACCGAGGAGGCAGCAGCATTTTCGACGTTTGGGATCCATTCAAGGACTTCCCAACTTTCACTCACTCCTCAAATTCTCTCCTTTCTCGTGAAAATTCAGCATTTGTTAACACCCGCATTGATTGGAAAGAGACCCCAGAAGCTCATGTCTTCAAAGCCAGATCTTCCGGGGCTGAAGAAAGAGGAAGTGAAGGTGGAGGTAGAAGATGATAGGGTTCTCCAGATTAGTGGAGAGAGGAATGTGGAGAAGGAAGACAAGAATGATAAATGGCATCGTGTGGAGCGAAGTGGTGGGAAGTTTTTGAGGAGGTTTAGGTTGCCAGAGAATGTAAAGATGGATCACGTTAAGGCTTCTATGGAGAATGGGGTTCTTACTGTTACTGTGCCTAAAGAGGAAATCAAGAAACCTGATGTGAAGCCTATTGAAATTTCTGGTTAAATGAGACTACACCTTTGTGTTCTGTCAGCAGCTGAAAATTTTGGTGTCTCTGTTTGTGTGTTTGCCTGAATGTGTTTGATATAAATGTACTGTACTATGATGTAAATGAAAAATTACCTTCTTAGTATTAATAAAAAAAATGTTTGGAGAGCCAATTTCATTGCAAATCAGATTATGTCTTACAATATTAGTAAACTTTATATCTTTTGCAGCAGAAATTTTTTGGAAAGCAAATCAGCCAACATGAATAGCATGTGCATACACGCTCAACGGATTATTTAACAATTTTTGATAGATCAATCGTTGTTGCTAGTTTAAAACATGTTTTTCTACCTGAACCTAGGCCGATTGCATCATCAGTGCGACGACATATGGTTTTCTTGATGTCCTCTTTAGTCTTTAGCTAGGCTAGTATTTTAGAGTGGTAGGCAGGCAAATTGATCCGGTCGTGGTTATAACAAAGATTTGTTTTTGAAACTCAACTTTCAGAAGATTAAATCTCCGTTTACATCATCGTGACATGGTACCAGCCCTTAAATTCTTTGCAAATAACTGATGAATAGTTAATGAATTCAAAAGGTTCAAATTTTAAAATCAACTTAAATTCTTTTGCATATAGCTGGTTATGAATCGCTAGTGAATTTAAAAAATTTAAATTTTAAAATCAATTTAAGATTAGATATGATTTAATATTGACTGGTCTAAGAAATAAAGATTTCATTTCATTTGATGGTCCAAAAAATAAAAATTTCATTTCATCTGATGTATGTTTGCACTTAAAATTCTTAATCCGTTCCTTAACTATTTATAAAAAAATGGTTATCTTGATTAATTACAAATTGAATAAGGAAACTTGTGGTTGAGTTACATATTTACTTAAAAACTAGTAAACCTCAATTTAAATATTATATAGTCAAAATCTTGTTTGAAAACTTCTCTTGTGGCTCATATAGGTAGCTTGAAGAACTTCATCCAAGCTCCTCCAATGCTAGCATGGAGGGTGCTTGGAAGAGTAGATGTAGACTTCTATTGTGATGTTCATATCCTCTGTTTGTCAAGTAAGTAACAATTTCCATTTATCCATGCTCTGATGCAGGAGCTATTATTTAAACAGAGGAAATAAATTTTTATTTTATTTTTGTTCATCAAGCTTAATTGATAGGATTGTGGATAATGCTTGTGAATGTATAAATTTTTATCTAAAATTTAACGTTTATTAAGATTTATAATCACATAAAAAAATCAAACCTAACACTTTAACATGATAAATAAGCAAGAATCCAAGTTAAGACTTGAGGTCATGATTTTTTTATGCATATTAACCCATGACTCTACATAAGAAATTGTGATCATTTCATTCTTCAACCTTTTATACGATTTTGATCTAGTAAAAGCCTTGTGTGTGTGTGTATATATATATCATTTGAGTCAGTATGCCAATATATATGCAGAATTTTAATTATAATGACATATGAAGTTCGAATTTTTTCAGAGTGGCAATTTTTTTGTTGTTGTTGGACCATATTACAAAATTATTAGAATGCGTGGCATATTCATTGTACATCATCCTTAGTTTTTTTTTTTTTTTTCTAAGTTTTGGCCAACAGAATAATTAGAGTTATTCAATTGTCCATGACATCAATTGAAAGACCAATTCTTCTAGAAGTAATTTAAAGAATTTTTTTAATCGTCAAATCTCAATTAGTGGTTTGATTGATGCATGCGGATGCCATAGGTTTTCTCCAATATTGTTGTCCTTGATTTTGTCCGTAATTTTCTGGTTTTATATCTATTAACTGTACCAAAAAAAGTTAATGTTATCCCCAATATTCTCCCTTGTTATCCCACAAGAACAATAAAAGTGCCAAATGCACCTTAATAATAAACAATAAGAAAAAACTTTAAAATATGTAATTAGCTGTTATTATCCTGTGGTGATATTAAGTTTGAGCAAATTTGATCTAAAAAATAATTTCAGTAATCGACTAAAGATTAAACGTGTTATGACGTTAATTTAGTCTAGAAAATGATAAATTCAATCTTGATTGATGTGAAAATTGATTTGAAAATACCCAAATATATATATATATATATATATATATATATAATTAATTAATTAATTAATTAATTAATTAATTTTAAGACATATGAACCATTGCATCATGATCTTAAAATGGCATCTTGTTGATGTGTATTTTTAAAATTTATTTATTATCATTTTTTTAGATTAAAGTTTTCTAGTATGATTACCTTCAATTGGAAGTGAAGGAATTGATTCAACCAAATTTAAAATAGAAGATGTGATTTGTCCAAATATAAAAAAGTACAGAAATAGTATAATATTCATTTTTGTTTTTTGTTTAAGGAGAAATAGCATAATATTCAGCCCAAATTATAAATTAGTCCCTCTAATTATAAGAAACAAATTAATTACTTTTTTATTTCAAACTAATTATTTATTCTCTACATCTTTAAATTTTATTGGAATTCAATGCTTTTATCTTTTTTTTTCAATTTATTTTTATTTTCTGTTTTAAAAAAATAAAAAAAAGTTAAAAAAATATGGAAGGCTTAATGAGGGAAAAAAAATAGAATAAAATAATATTAAATTAAATATGATCAAAATGGTTAAGAAATTAAATAATTAATTTTTAAAATAAATAATATTAATTAACTCATTTTTCGGAAATAAAGGGACTAATTTATGATTTACTCCTCTTAACCTTGTACGGCTTCTAAAATCCTTACGCAGGGCCCATAAACGAAAGGGGAAACCAAAATTCAAGCCCCATTAAAATGTCCAAACCCAATTGAAGACCAAAGTCCATTCATTTCAATCACAGATACGGACGGTTCAGGAATTTACTAGAAAGATCTCAAGTTCTAGTCTTTTAAAATCTGAAGTCCAGAATATTCCTGAATCAGCACCCGACCCGATCGTCCAGATTCATCCAGATTTCTCCTTAACCTCCTATAAATGCACAACCTCTCCTTTTTAACTTACAGCATCAAGAAATCCAGAAGCAAGCAGGAGTCAAAAAATTAGCGTTCTTATCCGTAGTTAAAGAAGGAGGAAAAAGATGGCAATGATTCCAAGCTTTTTTGGCAACCGAGGAGGCAGCAGCATTTTCGACGTTTGGGATCCATTCAAGGACTTCTCAACTTTCACTCACTCCTCAAATTCTCTCCTTTCTCGTGAAAATTCAGCATTTGTTAACACCCGCATTGATTGGAAAGAGACCCCAGAAGCTCATGTCTTCAAAGCAGATCTTCCGGGGCTGAAAAAAGAGGAAGTGAAGGTGGAGGTAGAAGATGATAGGGTTCTCCAGATTAGAGGAGAGAGGAATGTGGAGAAGGAAGACAAGAATGATACATGGCATCGTGTGGAGCGAAGTGGTGGAAAGTTTTTGAGGAGGTTTAGGTTGCCAGAGAATGTAAAGATGGATCAGGTTAAGGCGTCTATGGAGAATGGGGTTCTTACTGTTACTGTGCCTAAAGAGGAAATCAAGAAACCTGATGTCAAGGCCATTGAAATCTCTGGCTAAATGAGATCATACTTTTGTGTTCTGTCAGCAGCTGAAAATTTTGGTCTCTGTTTGATCGTTTGCTTGAATGTGTTTGATATAAATGTACGGTTCTACGATGTAAATGAAAAATTACCCTGTCAGTATTAATAAATTTTTTTTGGAGAGCCAATTTCATTGCAAATCATATTATGTCTTACGGTATTCATGACTTCACTTCTTTTGCAGTTGAATTTCTTGGAAAGCAAATCAGACAACTTCAATAGCACATACCGACATACACGAGCAAATTTCAAGAGATGAAAACTGAAGAGAGAGCATGATTCTATTTCATGCTGCATTTCTTGGATACCAAGGCTGAGCCGTTTACTTGTTGGATTGTGTTTTGAGTTTAGCTTCTTGGCGAGAAACTGGAAGTTTCTTAGATGTCAATATTAGTATCTTAAGTTCCAAATTCATCCCGACTTCATTTGCTAGATGATAGAAAATGAATATTAATTCAGAAGGAAATCAAACCCTTCTCCTTGAAATTTATTATTGAATAATCAATGTCTCTTGAAGATACAATTAGATGATTATAAAATATTTCTTGCATGTATACCATCTTACAATAATTTGAAACAATCTCTACTGGAAACTGGGTCTGAATCACTCCGCAAGCATTTTGTCACGCATCATCACTAACTTCAGTAAAATTTGCTGTCTGATATCTCAATTTTGTCCTCATACAACTTCTGCCTCTAAAAATAAAGTTAGGCATTTGTATTGACCAAAAACAACAGGAGCTAATTGTTTTGATTTGGTAGAGCCCCTCCTCACCTTGAGCCCGGCCCCCTCTTAGGTCAAAAGTTTTCACCTTGAAGAGTTCATCCCTTAGCCAGAATCTTTAGCTGCTCTTCGTTTCTTTTTCCCTAGAAACAAGCGGAAAAACTTCTCTTCGTCCATTTCATCTTTTCCAAAAAATTCCCTGCCAAACCTGGAACTGGATGGAAGTTCTGCATATAGCTTCAAAAAACATCTGATTCTGTAATCCTCACCATTTTCTCCTGTGAGCCTCTAGATCGAAATGCCTTGAACTTGGATAGATAGTTTTTCTAATTTTCTCTTCTTGGATATCAACTTTCAAACACTTGAACAGCTCAGCAGCAACACTGCAACTGATAGCCTCAGATGGTAAAAATGGCTTACAATTGGCATATTCAATATCAGAAGTACCATCATTGCAGTCTCGTTGGTTTTTTGCCAACCCTGTCTGGTCTCCTCCGTTTTGTGTTCTGACATCTTCACTATCATCATGCTCGTACTTGATCTTGTGTTTTGGCATTTCTCTCCTCATTTGTATGCGTTTGTTTAGCTACCTGGCTATCATAATTTTTGAGATGTGATGTTGAGAAATTGTGTGCAAAAACTGTTTACTCCAATTTCTATTAGCTAGAACTGTGGTGAACATAATAAGAATGGAAGTGCTTGTCCAGATGATGACTTTCAGGCTTTTAGCAGTGTCATGAAGGCTAATCCTATCACCAGATTGCTAGTAGCTTAACATCACAGGAGAACAATCCTATACACCCACAACAGGAAATTGAATACTAGCAATCTTTTACGGCTCAAATAAGTTTTACAATACCCATACTCCACTAGAAACTTAATGGTTTTATTCAAATGAGATAAACCAAAGTTTCAGTCTCAAGTACTAAAACCAAAGTTTCATGGAAGTTGAACCCATACAGTAACACCAGCGAAAATCAATACCGGAACCTTTAAAATAAGAATCAAATGAAGTATGATCAGCTGGTAGAAAATCCTTCTCCACCTGTTGCACCTCCACCACCTCGTAATTCCAGAGTTTTTCACCTTGAATAACTCGTGTTTTGAGCCAGACTCTTCATCAGCGTCTTGTGTACATGAAGAGTGTTGATGATGCCTTGCGTGGCCAAGAAAGAACACAACTCTCTGGTTCCTGATGGACGGTATGGCCTATACACCCCCAAGACTGTTACCAACCATTTCTCGATAGTCAGAGCTTGACTTTGAGAGTTGTTCCAAGACAATGAAGGGTCTTGCCAACATACATTTTCCTATCTACTCCACATTTGTGTAGCGGACCAGAGAATGATCAGTACTGCTGGCTTAGGAATTTCTAGGCCGTGGAATATTTTCTATTATATAAATGCATCGTGTTTTTTCCTTTTCTTTTTAATTTTAGCAATGGAAATACTTAATTGCTATAGTTTAGAAACCTTGCCGGCAGCTATCATCGTTCATGACATCAATTCGTACACCATTTTCATTTTTCTGTAAGAAAAATAAAATTGGCAGTTATTTCTGAAGTACCATAAAATTTCACAGTACCAGCCCTTAATTTAAGCTTGCTCGAATTGTAGTTATCATAAAAAAAAATAAATTAATAAATATCATATAGTTAAAATCTTGATTTACGAATTATTCTGGTAATTAGTGGGTCGGGCTAAATATGATACTTTAGAGTTTGATACTTCAGAGCGCCCTGCTTCCCTTGCTTAAACAAGGTCTTAGAAATCAATTTAAATATTTACATCATATCGTGAAATTCTTAGCATTTGAAAAAAAATCGGTCACCCATCAAGATTTATAATCAGCTTCAATATTGAAAAAAGGGGATGCGATTTAGAGATAATGGATTGTTTTTCATTATATAGCTTAAAGCTTATTGGATCTCCCATTGAAAAACGAGAAGAAACGAAAAGAAAATTCTGCTTTCTTGAAAAGTGGCTCATACGGGTAGCGTGAAGAACTTCATCCTAGCTCCTCCCATGCTAGCACATGTAGACTAATTGTGAAATTGGATGTAAAGTTGTTTCGTAATGGTTCTTAGTAGGAGATTAAAAAAGACAATGATAAAAGTTTTTTTTTTTTTTTTTTCTGAGCAAAGCAAAAAATTGCTGCTATTTTTCTCTGTATACTAAGTATAAAAATTGTTGTTTTTGTGAAATGACAAGAAAATGTCATGTTTGTAAGCTATGCGAAGGTAGCCTTTTGAAAGAATAAATGTTGAAATATTTTTTAATGTCGACGGCACACAAACGGTCGGGGAACCGTTTCCTTCATTTAAATTGGACAAAGTGACTGTTTCAAAACACTCGTATCCTCTCTTTGTCAGATAAAGGAAGAATAATAACTCTTAGAGCGAAAGACTTTACTACTTCAAGTTTTAGCAGAGTAAAAGCATTGAAAGAGCTGTAGGCGAACCAATTGAAGGACTGTTTTACATTACTAATATAATATTGCACAGGCGGGAATTGGTCGCATAGAGTTCTATAATAATACCAGCAGCTTTCCATTTTTGGATGACCTACAGGGCCATTTCATTCGATTGTGTTTAAAGGATAAGACAATTTAGAATCGAAGGGGACATGGTTTTGCTTATCTGAAAGGACCATTTCATTTGATTGTGTTTAAAGGATAAGACAATTTAGAATTGAAGGGCACGTGGCTTTGCTTATTTGACTCCATATAGATAGGGCACAAACGATCCAATTTGGGAATGATTTTAGCATTTAGAGGATTATTCTCAATGATTCAGTTTTCAACTTTACTTCCAAAAATAACACAAGCTGTTAAAAAGCAAAAATGTTGTTTATGTTTTGAGAATAATTTTTTTTTTTTGGTCAGACCACGAGGTGTCCTAAATAGGCCCGCGCACGCACAGGAGCCACCTTTAAGCCATTCCACACCCAGACTAATCCCCGCTCGAGCCGGGTAGGACCACGAGGCCGGCAAAGCTCTGCCACAGAGTTTTAACACAGCTGCATACCCAGGGTTCGAACCTGAGACCATTGGTTAAGCTAACAAAGACACTTACTATCTCAGCTACGTGCCCAGGGCCAGTGGTATTGTAAAACTATTATTGAGGTCTCGCATAATATCTTTAAGTTATTGACTTAAAAAGATTGAGGTCAAATAATCAGGAGCCTAATCTCATCATCCTCATTTATGTTTTAATTAATAAAGTATAAAATAATATGAGTCTATATAAATTTTATATTTAAATAATTTTTATTTAAAAAATATATTAAAAAATTATATAAAATTATTTTTAAGTTAAACTTTTGAATTGAGGTAGTTGTTTTACTGTGTTTAATGCTTAGTTTGGAATTTCAACCACACTAGGAGGTGAGCCTTCCTCCCCTATAAAGTTCCCCCAGCTCCAGTTCCTCCATTTCTTCCATGTGATTCTCCACTCGATCCATTTCCTCCTTGTAATTAACAATTAGACAAACTACTTTTGACTTACAAATAGGCTATGAAAACCATATGGAACACGTCTAGGAAGTTTAACATTTGCAACAATGTCTAGATTTGGAGACTTGGCATCCACAACTATAAATTTTGATTCACCAGTTTTCTCGTCATGCACATTACTTACCACAAATCCATCATCTTCTTCTAACAGCATATCATTTTCATCTCTAGAAACAAACAATGGCTCCCCTCCAAAGCAACCTTGCCCATAAAGCCTTCTCGAAACTTCACATTCCTTTTCCAAATCAATCTTTACTAAACCTGACATCTTTGGAATCTTTTCAGCAATTCCCAAATAGACATAGCGATTTTTCTTCCCAACATAGGAAGTATTGATAGACCCCAATTCCAAACTTCTTTTGGACAAAATCTTTTTTGAAAATTTCCCTGTTGTCATGTTGATAGTTAACTTCTCCAATGAGAAATGGACCTTCTCTATTTTGTGAAATACATTTTCAATGCTTGACACATTTGGTGCCACCAAGACTACCTCATCATCCCCATTTTCCCAAGCATTGGTGACATGCATGGCATTAAAACCTGGAACTGGAAACCACCTCATATTGGAGTCACTCTCAGCATATCTTGGCAAGATCCCAATTCTTGGCACTTTGTTTGGCTCACAAACCACAGGCATGCCTCTTCCTAGCATGACATTTGTGGGTGCAACCACCAACTGCGTCTCAGCGAAAATTGCAGATCGCTTGGTTATCGCAAAATCATGAATAAAAGTCGGCTGATTTATAGACAAAAGGGGGACATCTTTTTGCTTAACACCATCTTCATTGAAGTAAAAATAAGTGATATAAGGAAAAAATAATGGGTTGCACTGGAAAGCAAAAGTCTCCTTTGTATCCTTGTTAACTTTGGGGTGTGCAGTCATGCTTGCAAATAGCTTTCTATCAAAATCCCATCTGCCTAGTGTCTCCACGTTGCCTTCTTGTGTCAAGTCAATGACATATGGTAGATCAGACTCACCAAGAGCAAGAAGCTTATCTGAAAAGAAAGCAAGACTTGTGTTGGCCAGACCAAATCCTCTCTTGAGATTGATGTGGCCACACAGGACTCTTCCTACAGCCATAACAAAAGCAAGGATATCAGGAAGGCTATAAAAGCCAGATAACATGTTTGGAAAGATGGGAAAACCTGCTTTTTTTTCAAGCATGTATTTGTAGGTCTTGACATAGCGACTGCAAAAGGTTGCTTGGCCTCCGGATAATTTTAAGGAATGAAGCATGCCATCTCCTTCAAAGAAATGGAGAGGACTATTAGGCATGTGTTGTGGGTTTGGACCATTTCTAATATATACACCGTTTAGACAGGTAGGCAGCTCACCCTCCACCACAGTGCAGTTAGTGGGCTCAAGCTCATCCACTGGAGCAAAATTTCCTGTGAACACTTGAGCTGGATCGACCGAAGGATCAAGAAGAGGGTGATCAATGAAACTGGATATGGTGGTGACAAGGTACTTTTGGAATTTTGAAATGTGAGAGGATAAAAGTAATGAAGTTGATAATGCTATCTTTTCCAGTGATGTTCTGGTGCCTGTAATATCTGCCCGGAATTTACTTTTTTCTAGTGAAGAAAGAACAGGCATCCAGGTTGCTTGTCTGCAAGAAGGCGCTAGAGCAACTAATTGGGGGATGCCAGGAAAAGAAGGGTAAGAAGTTTTTGTTATTTTTTTGATGGGTTTTGGGTGAGTGTATATGTTGTTGGAGAAGGAATTAATGGTGTAATACATAGTGTGTTGATCAAAGAAACTGATCTAGGCTGCCTTCGAGAGAAATACTGGAACTGCATGATTCACATGAAGGGATTTATCTTGGCTTCCTAAATAGATTAGTAACTCGGCTGCTGTGGACCGTGAGAAGAAAAATTGATTACATCATCGAGTATCATGTCAATTTCACGAATCGGCTGAAATATTTGATTTTTATTAAAAAAAATTAACTTATTGTGTGAAATTCTTGAGAACCAATAAAATAACTAATCGATATATCGATCAAAATATAAAAAACTAATACTATAACTTATAAGACTAATAGTCAACTACACAAAGAATGAATTTCATTTAACACAAGGCTTAGTATCCATCCTTGCGCACTGCGACAGGGCAAAGGAGTATTAAATACCAACTCATTTGAAAAACATGTTTTCAATAGATGCCAATATAAATTGAATTTTACTAACAAAACCGAATCTTGCCATTAAGGCAAAATTCTCGTTGCTAATTCAAAACATGTTTTTTAAATAATTCAATTGTATCATCAGTCATTTTTGACTGCCGACCCCACCAAAAAAAAATATCAGCCTAACTAAAGACTAGACAGGACATCAGGAATACATTAACAATGTTCTAAATAAAGTAGTTCAATTACATCATCAGTGAGATGACTAGACAGGACATCAGGAAAACAATATATTCAAGAAACATGTTTTTAAAGTAGTCCTCCAGGCCAGCACAGGTCAGGTTGGTAAAAAAAAAAAAAAAAAAGAAGGGCGACGACTCTGTCACTCATAGACGACGGGTCATCTGTTGCAATTTCTAACCATCTCAATTTTGTCAGAAAAAAATTGCAGAAAAATCGTGTTAACTGTTGGTATCTTTAAACTCAAATTCAGTTTCATTTTTATTTAAAAACACTTCAAGATAATAGAAATGACATCAATAAATTGATTTAGAATTTCAAAACTCATTTTAATATATATATAAAAAAATCAAAAAAATTTTGAATTTTGATTTATTTGTTTTTACTATTTTATGATTTATAACCATCATAAACAGATTCTATTTTTAAAATGAATAAATTAGAAGTTAGTTCAACAGCCTTTAGTTGTAATGGGTCTCCTTATCTCTCTTTTTTCGTTTCTTTCTCCTCCAAGCAGTCAAGGATTAGAATACAATACATATGAAGTTTGAGATAAAAAATTATATCAAAAATTTTTTGAATTTTGATTTATTTTTAATTATTTTATGACTTATAACTATTATAAAAATATTTTATTTTTAAAATAAATAAATTAGTAGTGAGTTCAATAGGCTTTGGTTGTAAATGAATAAATTAGTAGTGAGTTCAATAGCCTCTGGTTGTAATGGGTCTTGTCATCTCTTTTTCTTTGTTTCTCTCTCTTCTAAATAGTTGCCAGTTAGGGACTAGAATACAACACATATGAAGTTTGAGATTAAAATAAAAATTTTAAAAAATTTGAGGGATCAAAGTACGCAAACCTTCTTATAAATATTGAAATGCACAATGTAATCCAGAGTAAGCGAATAGTGCCAATAAGTACCAGTGAGTAGTTAAAAAAAAAAGTAATTTACACTGTTTTTTCAATCTGTTTTAATTTTATTTGTAATATAAGTTTTTTACATTTTGGATCTGGTAGATGCCATATTAATGTAATTTGTAGCTAAATGCAACAGATAATTAGTCGTTTTTGCCTTGTTGGAGCTTCACCATACTTAAAATATCTGTGTTCGACGTGAGATACTCAATTTCACAATTCGCATATACTTTTCGAGAGCAACATTCACTGCATGCTTGTGGTATCCATGCACCCTATGGTTCTATTTGAATACAGCCGGTAAAATCATAACTGAAATAATGGGGCCAATTCGATAGTACTTTTTTCTTCAAAGATAATTAAGAAAGGTAATCTTAAAAAAAAAAAACACAGTAAAGATTTATTTCTCAGTAATAACTAATAAGATGCAACGCACTAAATTCTCCAACTTCAAACTTCAGGTTTATTTATTTTATCATAGAACTTTAAACTTAACTTGAAACACACAGTTTAGTGATGGTTTCATCCATAACAAAAGGAAAAAAGAAGAAGAAGAAGAAGAAGAAACCCTCAGTGTTTTCATTGAAGCAGAAGCCGAGAGCTGCGTAAATCGATAGCTAACTTTTGGCGTAGGAGTAAACTGGAGCATCAGCTAGTACGAGATCCCTTTCCATCTAGTGCGCCATGTCCTTGTAAGTCTAGAGTTCTTACCTTGAAGAACTGATCAAGTTTTGAGCCACGCTTTTCTTCTGCATGTTTTTATGATTCCTTATAAAGCTCTCTAGCAGTTGGTTGATAACATCAGCTTACAAGTCCTGATCCGTCTCCTAATTTACAAGCTCCACACATCCAGATATATCTATCCGAAAGGCGCGTTAATAATAACGTTGTCTGCTTCTTAGAAGTTGCCAAAAGGGCGCGTTAATATATATATATATATATATGTATATATATTCTTAAAAAGAAAAGGTGTTCGGGGCATGTATTGAGTTCCCATGCTGGAAGTCTTCGGATTTTAGGAAATAAAAATAACGTTGTCTGCTTCTTAGAAATTGCCATGTTTTATTTATGGATTTAATTATGAACTCTATACTTGTTAAAGAAAAATAAGGAAAGGTCAAATATATGCGGCAATGATAGGCAATCTCAAAAAATTATGCTGCAAAAAAAAAAAAAAAAAAAAAAAGAAAAGGTGCAAATATTTTCATTATAATTAACTTACAAAGATCAGGTATCTCGCAAGTTCCCAATAAATTTTTATTTTATGATAAAAAAATGTATTATATTTTAATTGATTTAAATTATTTTACATATGATGACATGGCCCACCATGCTTTATTTGAGTCAATTAAGGGCACCTGGTCAACTTAACGGAAGCCTATAACAATCTTTAATTGGTCGTTAAGGGATCAACCTGAGTTACAATATAGTATGAGGACCAACTGTGCAGTTTAGCCATCCAATATTGTATTAGATGAGCTTCTAACTGTTCGATATTTTGCCTGAAAGAAAGACTCTGCCTAGCTCACTCTCCAACTCTAAGACCTACTCTGATCCCATGCTGTACTGTTTGATCTCAAACTTTTCAAAATGAAGTTGCCAGCGTCAGTTGTTTCAGTTAAGGCTCTCGTTACTTCTGTTTTTCATGGGGTTTTTATGCTACATATTTGAAGCCTTAACCTTGTTTGGATCTCTCATAATTGCAGTTCTTAATTTCTTATAACCATGCACACATTTGGAAGTTTCACACATTTGTATAAACGGTAAAGATGGCATGAAGAATCAACTGTAATATATAATCTTGGGCAAGGCTAATTGTGTTTTTTTTTTACATTTAAAATACAAATGATTATTGAGGGGGACGGAAATATCCAAAGACAGGAAAGAAGGCTTGAATCAGGGTGAGGATGAGAAGGATGATGGCAGCTAACGCAGACAGGAGTGGCCAAGAAGTCTCAAAATAAGCTTTCTTAAACCCTGCCCATTGAACATGCCAATTATGCCTATAATACTCATTAACATCTTCAAAGACATCTGATAGGTAGCTCCTCTCGATATCAAAAGCAACATCCTTGCTGATATTACGGAAGAATTGAGCAACTTCCTCCTCAGTTCCCAAGTAATTCTCAATAACGTTGCGATCCCTTAAAAGCTCGGCATCGGTAGGTGTCTCGACGAGGCAGCCCATGAAGGTAACGTAACAAGTGATGTCCTTTGAGCAATGATTATAGCATCCTTCAAACGCAACACAATTGAGTAGAAGAGAGCTAGAGAAATCATCTAATGTTAAAGTTGGGATTTCAAGGACTCCGTTGCTGTATTTAACATCCAAGAAGCTGTCAGCCAGTCTAGGCCTGAACTGAATTCCAACAAGATGGAGCTTCTTGGCAGGTTGGATCAATAGAATAAATGGACTAAAATTTCTATGCACTGCTTGGGGTGAAGAGACGAGAGTCAAGCGAAACAAATCTAGTAAATGTCTCCCCTGGCTGTTGCTGTACCTAGTGGTGACTTCATCAGGTCTTTGTGCTGCATAATTGAAGAATTCTAAGGCAAGTTTGGTCAAGGAAGGCTTATTATCTCCTTTCTTCGAATCGAAAATCGGTAGGTCAAAAAGAGCTTGAAGGACAAAGAAAGGGATTTGGTTCTCTAGCCTAAGCAAATCCTGCATAAGAAAAGAAACAATCCGTGCCATGTTGAATAGAGGATCATGCAAATCAAGTAGTACTATTTTTCCAACTATGCAGAAAAGCTCGATGATAAAACAACCATCTACGACCATCATTTCAATGAATTCATGGCTACCATATTCAATAACCTCCGAATAACACTCTCTTATCTTCTCTTCCATTGGTGCTACGACTTTCAATAAGTCGTAAAGGCCAACCCCATTTTTCTTTGTTCGAGCAAGAAGACGGCCAAGATACCTCCATTTGTGTTCTTGAATCATCTTGAGGTGCTCTTTTCCATGGTGGTGTGGACCAATGGACACTATACGAGGTTGATAAGCCTTTTCATTCATATCAACAAGGCTTTGAGGCACTCTAAAGATGCAACAGGAACTCTTACCAGCTGATTCGTTCAGCAATTTTGGCATTGCTTTGATCTTTTCTTCCAATGAAGCTAACCATTTCTTGTCTTCCTCTGGGATGCTAATGACATGATCAGAGGTTCCTTCATTTTCTTTGTTTTGGTTGCTGCTCAAGTTTGATTCTGTTTCCATTTCTTCTTCTTTATTAGAACTTTTTCTTGCTGTGTTGTAGTGATTAGGCAGATTCTAAGATCTCACACCATATCCATAATTTTATGGGAGAAAATTTTGAAAATGAAAGGACTCAAAGTTTCCAGGAAATTGCTTTATGTCAATTTCAAAAATTGAAGTCGGCTTGTTTGGGACATTTTTCTGTTTTGGACCTACTTTGAAGACTAGCTTGTCTTCTTTCTCAGCTGTAGAGCCTGCTTAATACGTCAAAGTTAAAGAAAGGCCAAAAAGAACGGGTTAATCACATTTAGTAATCCAGTTTTATGACAATTTTTTTTTCAGTACTCATGATTTTTTTATTTTTTTTGTTGAATGTCTTATCTTTTCAAAACTTTTTAATATATTCCTCCATAAATACCCTTCTGAATACAGAAAAAGCCAATTTCCATATGAGCATAGTGTTTTCTAAAGCAATGCACTTGGTAAACATTTAATGTTGAAATACTCATATAGAAACTGCAATGAATTGAAGGACTAATTTTGTAATAATTGCACATTTTCTTTTGTGAGTAAACATCTGCCCTTACCATGGGAGAAAGAAACATCTGCTGGTAGAAGAGCCCTCTCCACCTTGTTCACATCCTCCTTTTCTTCTCCACAAATCTAGAGTTCTTACCGTCAAGAACTCGAGCTCTGAGCAGGACTCTTTGTCGTTGACTAGCTCACCACTTATATGGAATTCGGTCTGTAGATGGTTATTCCATATGTGATGGCTTTAACTTAGTCTCTGCAGGCTGGCTCGAGGATACCTCACAAGCCTCACTACTGTAATATTAAAAAAGAAAAATGGTATGAAGCTTGCCGTCCCACATTCAACAATTTTGTCTTTTTTTATTGATCAGTATCATTCATGACAGCAATCTGTTGATAGTTTAAATAATTATTTTCCCTAATAAACTACGATGCTTGCAAAATCATTGAGTTGGTATAAAATTCTGTTGTCAAATCTAAATATTGGAAGTTTTTTTTTAATAATGTGTCAATTGCAAACCAAATTAATGGCATCTTTCGGCCAGTAGCTTGTCTATGTTCATTTCACATTCTGCAATTCCCAGTTTTAATTTACTTCATTCGGGATTTGGCAATGGAATGGGTGGAAAACTTCATGCAAAGCATCTGAAATTCTGAACTAAAACCCACCTTAATAACAAACTATGCGTAGTCCTGACCAGAACCTGGAACTGGAAGGCATGAATTATATATAGATCACTCCTTGCGACAACTTTACCTATCTTCACTCTGATGTTTGTAGCTTTCCTTTGCCAAATTAAGTACAGGAAAATGATTTATTGAGCAAGCAAAAGCCAGCATTTGAAACTGATTAAAATTTACAACGTCATAATCCACACGAATCCTATCATTACTTGGGACTACAGACTACATAAGTTTTGTCGAGACAGCAGAGTTGCTGGACGAAGAATGATTCTTCATCGCTCAGTACATTCTAATTATACAAATTTCAAGTTAGAGAAACAATTAAAATTATTGTTTAGGAGGACGGAAATATCCATAGAAAGCAAAGAAAGCCTGAATCATGGTGAGGACGAGCAGGACAATAGCAGCTAAGGCTGACATGAATGACCATGGGGTGTCAAAATAGTTGTGCTTGAAACCTGCCCATCTAACATGCCAATTGTTGCTGTGGTACTCATTGACATCCTCGAACACTTTCGATGGGTAATTCATCTGAATATCAAAAGTAACATCCTTGCCAACATTATTGAAGAATCGAGCAACTTCGTCGTCAGTTCCGAAGTAATTCTCGACTATTTTGTGATCACATAAAAACCCTGCATCACTAGGGGTGTTGATGAGGCAGCCCATGAAGGCAACGTAACTTGTAATGTGATTTGAGCAATGGTTATAGCATTGTTCAAATGCAACACAATTGAGTATGACAAAGGTAGTGAAATCATCTAATGTTAAGAGTGGGATTTCGAGGACTCCATTGCTGAATTTGATGTCCAAGAAGCTGTCAGTCTCCCTTGGCTTGAACTCTATTCCAGCTTGATGGAGCTTCTTGGCAGATTGGATCAATTGAAGAAATGGGCTGATCTTTCTAGGCACTTCTTGGGACGAAGGGATGATAGTCGAGCGAAACAAATCAAGTAAATGCTTACCACTAATGTCTCTATACCTTTGTAGAACTTCAGGAGGTCTTTGAGCAGCATAATCAAAGAATTCTAAGGAAAGTTCGGTCAGGAAGGGAACATTTTGTTTTCCAGAAGATAAGTTTGAGATCTCAAATAGAGTTTCAAGAACAAAGAAAGGAATTTGGTTCTCTAACCTGAGAAGATCACGCATGATAAAGAAAAACATCCATGACATATTGAATAGAGGGTCATCAAGATCTGCTTGTACTATCCTTCCAACGATGCAGAAGAGCTCAATGATGAAACATCCATCAAGCACCATCATCTCGATGAATTCTTGGCTGCTATATTCAATAGTCTCAGAATAACAATCTCTGATCTTCTCCTCGATAGGTGCTATGGCTTTGAAGAAGTCATTGATTCCAAAACCATGTTGTTGTGTTCGAGCAAGAACAAGGCCAATAAATCGCCATTTGTGTTCTTCAATCATCTTGAGATGCAATTTGCCATGGTGGTAGGGGCCAATGGAGACTATATGTGGCTGATAGGCCTTCTCGTTAATTTCAACGAGACATTGAGGCACTCGAAAGATGCAACAAGTGCTCTTGCCAGCTGATTTGTTTAACAATTTTGGCAATAGCTTGGTCTTTTCTTCCACTGATTTTAGCCATTGCCTGTTTCCCTCCGCGATGCTGATGGAATGATCATCAGAGGTTCCTGCCTTCTCTTGGCTTTTGTTTCTGAAGAGCCTTAATTCTGTTTCCATGTGTTTCTTCATAGAATTTCAGCAGATTCGTATATGACTCACCACATCTCCCGTCATAATCCTAATTAGACTGTCAGATCCGCCAAGTTTCTTATATATGAACAAACTGAGGACCAAAAAAAAAGCTTGAAGTTTGGAGGAAACTGCGGCATTTTTTCAACTTGCGTTGGTTTCCATTAAACTATTCTGAAGGCAATTTCTTGCTGTAAATTTCAAACGATCTCTGCAGAAGTTAACAAAACTAATCTTAGTTTTTGTCTGACCTCTAGACTTGTTCTCAATATGTCAACATCTAATGATACCCAATAAAGTTCTAAACAAAATATGAAACAAAGTTTTAAAGAACATATACTCCTATTCAGATTGAGTAGTTCTGAAAGACAGAACAAGTTGTTTATAAAATCAAATTCAACCTTCTGAAGATATTCTTCAACCTTTCCTGTGTCCCGAGCTAACTGGAAAATCAAGTTCTCCGGAGACCTAGTTAATCAAATGTAGACGCTACGTGGTTTCTGCTGGCTTCCCTGGTAGCTAGACAAGATGCCATGGAAGTGTGTGTGTGGTGGAATTAAGTTGACTTAGCTGAGTCAAGATGACTCATGAGTCACGTGTGTGTTAGGTGATGGACCTTCCAAGTTCCATACCGTGCACAACAAGCCTAGCATTACTAGTCAGCAGTCAGTCAGCATAATGCAGCCAAGCAGGATAGAAGAAGTGTGTATTTAATTAAAGATCGTTTGAAGATAAGATTTAATTTCAATAAAATTTAGTCTTAATTAAGATGCAAATTATTCAAAATATACTCATGTTGTTTCAAATTGATTTTTTTTTTTTAAATTTTCATACGATTTAAGAAACTTATTAATTATAATGCTATATCAGTTTTGTTTTTTTTTTTAATAATACTTTTTTTTGTTTAACAATATCCGAGCTTGTCCGGCGCTGGCCCAGATTAAAGCTGTTTCTCATGATATGCAGACCTCTTGCTGCAAAGCCCGCAATCAAGCAAGAATACTGGAATATTGGATTCGTTCATTTTAGCCCATTTTCTGGCTGTCCTTCTATTTCTGCTTTGTTTTGGGCTCTTGGGCCGCCTCTAGAGCAATAAATAAATAAAAATTATTATCGACCATGGATTTACTTTTTGCCCTTTGCTTTTATGTATCAAAACAGTTTTTATTTAAATAGATTTTAATTAGATACATGCCCTAATTGATAAGAAATTATTTTCTTGCAATTTTTTTTGATGAACAATTTTCTTCTAATCTTATTGTGGATGATAATAAGAGAATAAAAATAGTTATCAACCATGCACGTTAGAGTTTAAAAATAACCTTAAATGTACAGATCACATTTCAAATTCTCTCAAATTTCAAAGTCATTACCATATTTTAAAAAACTTATGATGCTTGTGTCATTGAAAAATTGATTCCGTATAAAGATCAGATAAATTTTAGTAATTAAAAAATTATTATTTACTTTTGTAAACATTAGTTTCGAATTTTAGGAAAGGCGAAGTGAGATCTATATAGTAATTTTATATAGTTTCAATTTTTTTTTACTTTCTTAAATACTAATCTTTTTTTTATTTTTGTAAATATTGACTACAATCACCTTTTATTTTTTTTAGAAATAATGACAATTACTTTAACGCGTGTTCTTATATAGTAATTTTATTAGTTACATTCTACAAATTAAGATACATTTCCAACTTTTAAGAAATTTAATTTGACTACCACAAATTATTTTTTGAGAAAAAATAAGTTGTTTAGTCAATTTTGATTGCTTTTAATAGTCTAAAAATATTACAAGTGTTCTAAAAATACATGATTTGAAAAAAAGAACAAAAATTATCTTGAAAATTAAATCACATATACTTTCAAGATTTTTAGACAATTAGAAACGGTCAAAATTCACTAAACTATTTTTTTATTTAAAAAACATAATAATCAAATTAATTTTAGAAAAAATTAATTTGATTAAAACTTGAAAACCTCAAAACATTATTTGACAGTCAGGAACAAAAAACGTCATCTGAGAAAATCATGACGTACAAGTGAAAAGAGAGAAACCATGCATGAGGTGACGCATATCTTACTTATCATGACATTTGACCAGGTATTTGGATACGAAAAATGGACAGAGTGAAGAGTAAATTCAGAGATATAAAAATGAGAAAACAATAACAGATTAACTAGAGATTTTATATTAACTAATAAACTAAAGAAAAACATAATTTCACTGTAATTATACTATTTGTATGCATATATTTATATTTTACTATTCACTCTCTCATAATTTATTATTACTTTTACTATTTATAATTTTTTTTACACTTTGATCATTTATATTTTCGAACGCATATTTCGATTCATATGTTTATTTTCTCATCCATTTTAGTCAATGAATGGAGAGAGAGCTGATAGAAAGAGAGAGACCGAAGGAGAAAGAGATCGTCGGTTAAACTCATTTAGGTCACTTTGGTCGGCGAAAATCCACTATATCTTTTTATCTTTGAGAAATAAGTTTGTCTATAGTGGTTTCAAACTATTAAACAATTAGAGGAGGTAGATTGGAGTCAAAAAACGAAAAAAAATCCGATTTGATTTTATATTTATCTTTGTGTTTTGTGTGTATTAAAATGATTTTTAAGATTTTGAATGTGTTTATTGGCTTTATTTCGATTATTTATAGGTATTTGAAAAAAAAATGATACCAAAATTTAATTTTTAAGTGTCTGAAAGCTAAATCTCGAACTTTCGGCGACCCGAGTTCACCTGAAGTTATAAGTTTGTTTTTTTTTTTTTTTTTTTCCTTCTTGAGTTGCAGGCAAGGCCTGGTGCGCGGGCCTGCAATGGCAAGCCCAAGCGCGCTGGCCTGTCTGCAACTCAAGTGAGATGGGCTCCTCTATATATATATATATATATATATATATATATATATATATATATATATATATATATATATATATAATCTATGTGCAAGCCTGGCACAAGCCAACCAGGATGCCTGTCTGGTTGGCTTGGAACCAGGAGCGCCCCCCCCTCTCTCTCTCTCTCTCTCTCTCTCTCTCTCTCTATATATATATATATATATATATATAAGAAGAAAAAAAAATAAAGAAAAAGGTCTACAAAAAAAGTGAAAAATATAAAAAATAAATTGTTATTTTTTTTTAGTTTCCTGTAAAGTTTAAAGATGATATATCTATATATATGATTATATTACTTTTATTGTTTAAATTTAATTTTTTAATTATTTATTTCTTATTAAAATTCATATAAAAATAATTTTTTCATATAATTTTATTTGTTAATAATTTTATTTTTTTAATATATGAATTTTGAAATGAAATTTTAGAACGTCAATGTTTTATTTTTTAAATATATCATTATAATTTATACAATAATTTTTTTTTACTTTTTAAATGAAATTTTTTTGTTGATTATTTTTATTATTTTAAATTTACTATTTTAATTTGTCAGTTTTTTAAAATTCTTATCCATTGAATTTCAAATTACATTAAAAAATTTTAAATATTTTTTTTACTTTTGAATTCATATATTTTTATACATTCACATCATAAAACAAACTATTAAACTAAAATAATCTTTCTAAAAGCTTTTATATATTTTATCCCATCCATAGCATAGCGCGAACAAAAAATGTAGTATATACTCAAACTAAATAGTATTTCATTGTTCCTAAACCTTTATTATAGTGGATAAAATGATATTATTTTGTGTCTTTTTATGTTTTTTAGTTTGAAACGACGTTATTTTACCCAAAACAATAATAATAATAATAAAAAAGTAATAATTTTTAAATATGTTGTACACTCTTTTATATTTTGATTCTTGAACTTATAATTTTATTCCAAAAGTTCTTCAATTTGATTTTTGTTATAACATGGTTCTTGTATATATATATATATATTTTTAAATGGGTGGGCTATGCTTCCAGCTTGGGCACATAGGCCTAGTTATTTCAAAGAAGAAGGAAAATCATCATTCAAAAAAAAAAAAAAACAAGAAGAAGAATTATACTCTAAGCACCAGTAATTATTTGTTTTTATGTCTAAATGAATTGGAAAATTATTTAAATTTAAAAATCAAATTTTAATTTCTGTTTCTTATGTTTAGGCATTAAGAATTCAAATACAAAGCAAATGAATTGCAATTCAACTTGCATTAATGTCTTCTTTCTCATTAAAAGATATCAGGTTTGAATTCTGTTTTTTTTTAAAAAAAAAAAAAATCAAACAAAAAGAAAAGAGTAATATCTTACGTAAAACTGTAATCAATATCACCTAAATCTATCTGCTTTGACCTGCTTTTTTTTTTTTTTTTTTGAAATAGAATTCATAACTCCTAACTTCTTCGAATTTAGTATTTCTCTCTCATTAAAAATAATGCGTAATATCTTTAAAAAAAATGCAATCAATAATATCATCTAAATCCATCTACTTCGAGCTACTCTCCTTTGAAACGGAATTCATAACTCCTAATTTCTTCGAATTTAGCATTTCTCTCACATTAGAAGTAGCAAGTAATATTTTACAAAAAAAAAAAAAAATTGCAATAAATACGTATCATCTAAATCCATTAAAAAAAAAAATTGCAATAAATACGTATCATCTAAATCCATTTACTTTGAACTACTATCCTTTAAAACAGAATTCATAACTCCTGGCATTTTTGAGTTTAGTAATTCTGCCTTATTGAAGGTAGCGTTTCTGTTAATAATAATAATAATAATTATTATTATTATTATTATTTTATTTTATTTTATTTTATTATTTTATTTTTTATTTTTTTATGTTCTAGGATCAAGACTAAATGGCAAAGGATACTCATAGTTTGAATTTTAGATATCTACGAGTGGGTTTTGATAGCCTGTGATGCGGACTTGCAGGAGTGTATGGATGTTTCTAGATCATCAAGTTATAATATAATCAGGCTATCAGTTCGTGATGCAAATGCCAATCTCGGGAGCTCCTGTGAGAGCAATGGGGAGTTATGATTAGGTTGTCTCTGTAAATATGGAAAGTTTGGAGCACAATTCTTAGATTCATAGGCAAGCGAAGCTGTAGATCATTTTTTGCTTCTGAGAATTTGATTGAACTGTAAGAAATTTTCGTATAGCGATTCACATCCTCTGTTTTCCATGTTGTCTCCATTGTATTTTTTCAGTCCCTTTTCTTTTCTCTCTCTCTCTTTTCTTTTTGAGAAAAATTTAGGTGCTAACACTTATTCATTACAAAGTGATAATGAGGTCCTTGACCGCACGTAAATTACTTGTTTGATTGTCAAACGTTTGAAAAATAGGTGTATATTTTCGTCATAAAAAAAAAAATCTAGTCAGAATATTATGCAATGCAACTTGTTTTAAATAAGATGGAGTAAGGTGATTTTTTAATCTTTACCACACGTAATAAATCACTTATATAAGATTCTGAACAGACAGTCATACGGTTTCTTAATAATCATAATACCAGTTAGCAACTCTATTGTTTTAGCCATTTTCCTATTTTCCAAAACCGTCATTCTCGCCTTGATGTCGCTTGCAACAACTATCGCTATTATTTTTATTATACTACTATTATCACCATCAATCTTCTTTTATTGCCACCTACTATAGAGATAGTATCAATTTTTAAAAATATATTATTACCATTTCCATACTTTTTTACTACCACATTCTCCTATTCAACCACCACCAATATTACAATCACTTATATCATTTTTATTATCATTATAGTTAATAAAATTATTTTTTTAATCTTTATTTTTATTCATATTAAAAATCAAATATTAAAAAAATTTAAATTTCATTTTAATTTTTTTATTACTATTTCAAATACAATATAAAAATGTAAATGTCATTTTTATTTTTTAATTTTAATTTTGATTTTTACATTTTTATTTCGAAATTTTCATTTCTAAAAATTGTAACTTTTGGTAAATTACGTGCTTTCTAATGTTTATATTTTAAGTAGAAGCAAAGAATTAGATGACTTATATCTAACATGCTCACTCTTTCATTACTATTTCTCCGTGTCCATTTCCTTTTGCAGTTTTATTCTTGTGTGTATTGGTAACTGTTTCTTTTTTTTTTTTTTTTTTTTTGATAAAAAGGAACATAATATCAGAGCATACATGCTTGAACACGATACTTTATTTATTCTTAGAGTATTCCGAAGAGATTGTATCATTTGACTTTTCACACAAATATCATCATTTTTCCTTTCATACTTTTTTAAAAATATATATATTTTTTAAAAATTGTATTTGGACCATCTTTTATAAAATCAACTTCAATTAAGGGTATTTTAATAAAACACATCACTTAAAATTTTGATTAGATAGATACTAGTTAGATACTCGTGCTCCAATGCGGTTAAACAATCGTTACATATGTAACGTTAATGATTCATATAGTATAACATGAGTTGAAGTTTTAGTTCGATGAATAATGTAAATCGAATATGTATATTGAGCAAAATCGTTTGATTTAAATATATATTTTTAACAAAATATTTAATAATATTATCATAAAAATTTGTATTTGAATAATTGAAAGGTTATTTTAAAATATTATCTAACTTATTTTATTTTAAAAAAATTAGAATATGAATAAATAAATAATAAATAATTGATATTATGTATGCGGATATATAGTTAATTTCTAATAAAACTTATATATATATATATATAAATTTATATATATGATTCATAGCATATATATAATAAATAAAAAAATATACAAAAAAACACATAAATTGTATGAAATACATTAGAGTCAACGAGATCAAAAATAAAAATTACAATAAAATTGGTTCTAATAAATTTTGAATAAATATACGTAAAAAAACAAATAAAACTTGTGAATTTAAAAAAAAAAAATTGAGCCAAACTATCTAAAATATACTTTTATCTCTCTCTCTCTTTATATATATATATATATATATATATATATATATATATAGAGAGAGAGAGAGAGAGAGAGAGAGAGAGATATTAGAATTTATAAATTATAATAATATATTTTAAAAAATAAAATACTTATTTGAAAAGCTTAAAAATAATTTATTATATAAATTATAATAATATATTTTTAAAAAATAAAACACCGACGTTCTAAAATTTTATTTTAAAATTCGTATATTAAAAAATCAAATTTATTATCAAATAAAATTATATCAAAAAATTAATTTGATGAGAATTTTAATAAGAAATAAATATTTGAAGAAATAAATTTTAAATAGTAAAAGTAATATAATCAGATATATACTCAAACTAAAATCTTAAAAAATATCATATATATTATATCATTTTCAAATTGTATATAAAACTAAAAAAAATAACGGTTTATTTTCTATATTTTTTATACTTAATTTCATGATATATATATATATATATATATAGAGAGAGAGAGAGAGAGAGAGAGAGAGAGAGAGAGAGAGAGGAGAGAAATGAAAGGGGCTAGGCTCAGGCTTATATATATAAGCGCCCGGTTGCTCAGGCTTTTATATATATATATGCGCGCTAGGCCAAACTCAGGCTTATATATATATATATATATGCGCGCTATAAGCGCCTGGTTGCGTTTTTTTTTTAAAAAAAAGGTCGGGCGCTGTGCGGTAGGGCAAGCCAGCGCATACTTGCAGGCCCGCGAGCAGACCTTGGTTGCCTTTCAACCTTAAAAAAAAAAAAAAAAAAAAAAAAAAAAAAGCTACAGTAAATGAATAGTGATTATCCCAGATCTTTTAGTTTTTTTTAGTAATATCCCATTCATTGTCTACTGAGTAAAAAGTTTAAATATTCATACTCTGTCTAATACCTATTATGTGACAAATTTAGATATCCATTGCTAAAATCGAGTTTCATTAAGAATCAAGTCAGTCCTCCCCCCATAATGTCAAGTCCGAAGAACAAACCATGCCATCCCAATGAAATCCTCTTTGCAAAGCTGGCGGGGTAAGGATCAAACCTTCTGCCATGCTATCAAGTAATCCTGGCATGTTAAACAATGCCTCCTCATCAAAGAACATTGCATTGGATTGATTGGACACCTTCTCTGAGCAAGCATTAGGGCATGACATGACCATATCTGAAGCAGGCTCATCGTTAAGAACCTTCTTTTCACATATCTCAACACTTGGCAAGTCAATTGATGAAGGTTTCACAACATTCTTTTTGCCCTTCTCATGTTGAAGATCACTTAAACGAGGACTCAAAACTTTCCTCGAGCTTGTCACACATGAAAAATTCTCATGAGGTGATGAAGAGGACGAACCCGAAGAATTAGCAATTGGTCTTAAGGCCTCAACAGCATCAAGGGCAGCCCTTTGTATATCTTCAGGAGAAGACGACTTTGCTCGAGGAAGTATCGAAGCTGAATCAAGGAAGTTTAAAGCAGCAGATTCTCCTTTAAGTGCTAAAACTGCAACATCATGTGCCCTAGCTGCCATTTTCGGGTTAGTGAAGGTCCCGAGCCAAATTCTTGATTTCTTGTTTGGCTCACGCACTTCACAGACCCATTTATTCCCATTTCTTCGCCGCACTCCCCTATATACCGGGTGCCGCGTCTCCTTGAACTTCTTCCTCCCTGCTTTCTTCTTCTTCAAGACTGCAGCAGCTGGCCGTTCCTCTGCTTGTCCAAGATAACAACTGAAGTTGATGCATGGCTTGCATGGTAAAGTTTGAAGCATTGAAGATGATGGTGATGGTAATGAATGATTCTCAAATTCCATTTGGGCATTTGACAAAAAGCAGAGAAATTTTATTTTATTTCAGAAATAAATAATTATTCGACAAAAAAAGAATCTAATTGTTGAGAGCAAGAAATTCATGTAGTGAAGCTAGATAGAGTGAGCTGTGTAATGCTTATACATGTTCGTAAGTGATATAGGAGCTAGAGAGTATCCGTAGCAGTATTTCTGCATGAGATTAATTTACTACTTGACCATTTCTTTCGAGAATTGTTGAATCCACGAAGCCGACAAGGAAACGAACACGGCGTTTACGCGAGCAACACACTGATGATTGGAGTTCCAAATGAGTACGTAAATTAAAATCATGGGGTTTAACTTTATAGGAAAAAGTCGAAATACTAATAGTAGGAAAAGTCGAAATATTAATAGTAGGAAAAAATGCGAATAAAAAGACAGATCAATGGGACCTATATATAATCCCAGATTGTCTCTAAAAGCGACCCGTTCAATATTTCTAACAACCTTATATTGGAACCACCTTAATTTCTGGTTGAGATTATCTTAAGAAGGTAGTGGGACATGTAAACAAACTCAGAATGCGTACGATAGGGATCCTGTGTACGGATTCATTGAATTGGAAGGGAAAACGAAAGTTTAACTTTTTTATTTCCGTATGCTAAAAATGAGAGAAAATAAAAGAAAATGAAGTGGTAGGAAATAAAATTAAAATTAAGTTTCCAGTTTCTTGAGAAAAAAAAATTCTTATGTAGGAGAAAATTAATCAAAGGAAATACAAGTTTCTAAAATATTTTTAATAATACCAATCAGAACCTTTGGAGGGACAATGACATAGATGTGATCCATAAATGATATACCACAAGTAGTCAAATGCTAGGATTTTGAAAATAATCGTGATAATAATAATAAATTGGGTATTATATATGTATGTATTGTCCAAAATCTAAAACAATTTTTTTTCTTAATTTTTTCCATCTTGTCAGATTTATGGAAATACGATAGAGAGTTAATTAAATGGATTGATGTAAAACATGGCATTGTTTCTCTCTCTGTCTCTTTATACACGCATTATTCAATTCAACAAAAAAAAAATGTGAAAAATTAAGAAACAGCGGGATGTCTTTGTTTTTCACATGCAAAACGAACATGGACAAAGGAAAAAAAACAACAACTATAATCTCATTAATTTGATGACTTTAATGAACTACATTATTTTAGGCTTTGTTTTTGTTTGGGAGAACATAATTTTTTTTAAAAAAAAATTATAGATCAAACTATCTTGGAGAGAATAATTTATTTCTTCTCTCTCTCCTTTTTTTTTTTTTTTTTTTGGTAAAATTGAGTTCTGTCATGGAAAACAAACCTATAAAATTTTATTATATGTTTGGTATGCACGAAAAATAATTATCTTTTTGTATAATCGAATTAATATAGTCTAATATGCATGTAAGTATAGTCATTGTGAATTATGAGACGTCTAAAATAAAACATTTTTTTCCTCGAGACTTTGTCTTTTTAAAGCATCTACTATTTTGATGTCCTATTTGGGCTTTGTAATTAAGCCCTAATCAACTACATTAGCCACATACTTAAATTTGAACGTTTCAATATATATTTACAATAATACATGCCTGATTGGCTTAATAATCTTATCAAGAATTTTCCCATGACTCACCTTGTTAGATTTTTTTCCATCCCCTTTATATATCTTCCACGGAGGAAATTCTTGCCAGATGTTCTAGATTTTCGCCCATGTAATAATCCCCATTTAGACAAACTAGAGCTTATATGACCAAATCAAGGGTCTTAATTAGTTGCTGTGAGGATGATCCTGTCACTATCTAATAATGAAACTTCCCTTCATGCTGACTAAAAATAAGATAATATCCATTGCATTTACGTCTTTTCGTATCGTCGCCAATTAAGCTTTAACACTTCAGCCATATCTCTTGCCCTGTATGAACTCACTGACCATGAAAGTGTTACTTTTGGTTTCCTTTCACACTTGGTTAGCCAATCAGCCGCCCTTGGACAATGAACAGTACTTCACGTGTCTCTGTCGGCCGTTTGGAGGAGACTAAGAATCCGGCACCTATTTAGGTTTAGTCTTTCTACTGCTCTTCGGTGCCAAACAAAACATGCTCACAGACGAGAAAATTGACACGTCCACACCTACATATTGCAAATTTAACCTCATCTACATCTACATTAAATGGCAGACACAATTATAAAAACGACTGCGAAAAATCACAAATCGCAGTAATAAAAATAGTCTTGATAGTCAATAAAAATAGTCCCAAGTAGTTGTTTCGCTACGCAGCGGACAAACTATTTACTTTGTATTATGACGTAGATCAATAAAAATATATTAAATAAAAAATAAAAAATCATCTAATTTTATAATTTTTAATCAAAATTTAGTATTTATTTTTAATAATTTTTTTAGTTGAAAAACATAATTTATTCTTTTTTATACGTTTATTTTTAAATAAAAACTCATAATAATTTAAATATAAAATTAAAAAATATTTTAATATTTTTATAACATCATACGGAATAAATAAAGTAACACTTAACATAAAACCTGTATAAAATTAACAGATAAATCTTTTTTATTCTTGTTTCATACTGCTAAGAAGTTTTTTTTTTTTTTTTGAGAATATATACCTTTTATTTATATATATTTATTTACAAATCGCAGTAATAAAAATAGTCTTGATAGCCAATAAAAATAGTCCCAATATTAAATTTATTTTAATTTAAATATTTTTAATAATTTTACTAATTAAACATAATAATATCATGTTTAATAGCTTAATATTATACAATAATAGTTGAACTCATTACAAAAAAATTAATAACACCTATAATAATTTAATATCATACGAAAAAAATACATTAGAACCTTAAGATAAAAGATTTCACATAAGTAGCATCTGAACAAAATCTATTATAGATTCAATTTCTTTTTTAAAAAAAAGGCAAAAATAAAAATAATATAACTTCTTTATTTGTGTGAAAACAGAAGGGACCTTTATAACAAGGACTAACACTAATGGATAAGTCGGATTTCGTTAAATAACGGCCTGATTTCAAGAAAAAGGAGATAAAGCACAATTAAAGAAAGCAACCAATCATACCAAGTAACCTTTTCCTTCCTATCCAGTGATAATAGCGAATAATTATGGTAAAATTGGTAATCTAAATCTCAAAAATTTCATTTCTCAAGCCAATTATCCAGTCTAGCAGCTAACTAGTTCAACAATTGCCAAAGATAAGGCAAAAGTATTAACATAAGTTGTTGGCACCTTCCCTGCTAGCTCTTCACATTTTAAGTGAGCTGAGAGAATCTTAAACGCAGCGACTGGGAAATAATTTTCAGGATGCTACGGACAATCAACCATGTAGTTGGTCCAAGACCAGAGAGGCCCACATGCAAAGACTTCAGAACATGCCAGCTCATAACTAGGGTTGTAAGATAAGAAAATTGGTGACTAGCTACTGTTAGAGAAGACCTCTTCCTCTGCTAAGGAATTATGGTGTCCTCGTGATTTCCGAAGCCTGGAAATTCGTTTTCTATGCCCACGGCCCTGTTTGTGCTGTTCCCATTCATGAGCTCCTCTAAGCACCCTATTTCCACAAGCCTAACAACAATAAAGACGAAAGCAAGCATGTTTTAGAGCCTGGACTCTCTTTATTCAAAAACCAGCCGATGTAGCCAAAATAAGTAAACAAGAAGTCAAAATAAAGAAAAGCAGATAATTCTTCAAGTACTTCAAGGCATGCAGACCTTGCAAATGTATTGAGTCCACAAGTTCCTCTCAACTGATTTCATTCGAGTATCAACATGTGTCTCCAAATCAGGCGATGGAATCCCCTCCTCGGTGAGAAAAGCTCTAATAGCATTCACAGCGGAATCAACAACTTGTTCAGTCCACAATTCATCTGATTTGCCTGAAACATAAGATTACCGTGTGATTTAGCAGAGTAAATTGCAGAGGATGCTAACTAAAGGAATGAAACAAACAGGACTTGGAAAGGTGTACATGATATGAATTCTGTCGCATCAACATAATGTATATTCCATCCAAACAATGTTTGAAGCCGAGTAAGCCTCCTCTTCTGTAAAAACAAAAATATTCAAATCACTCAAGTCTTTGATATGACCATAAAACAGGTACATACATATTTGCTGCAGTGCAGATGATTGACACGAGCCTCATCATCACCAGTGAAATAGGTCTTGACTAAAAAGTGAAATTTTCCAAGAATGATATCAGTTGGAGCGTTGGACACATTAAAAACATTTAACAGAAATTGAGGTACACCAATAGCGATTTCATGAATGATTCAAGTAAACATGATCAACGATTTGGATGCTGCATGTGCATTCAAGAGGTAAAATTTTTGCATTTACAGTCATAAACACATGCACATACACAGTATATGGGATGCTATAAACAGAAGTGATTGTTTCTGAAGCGCAAAAAATATTGAAACATCAGATATGATCTACAACACACGTGCTTGTCTGACAAATAAATAATGAGACAATATAGACTTACTTGTACACGAACAAGTCTTCTGGTATTTGCTTTTACTTTGTCAATAGCATCTGCCAACAGAATTTTAAGTTGGTTATCATCAGAGGAATTGAGGATTTCTCTCATATTATCTTTCACATCGTTGTTTTTTGACAGCACAAAAAGAGATCCGGTAGAGTCGTGTCCTTTTTCATCTGACATGTAAACTCTCAGAAAATGATCAAACTCCCGCACACCAATGGCTTGCCGCAAACCTCGAGTATAATCCACATTATAATTGTAAATCTCATGGACTTCACTGAGTAATCCAGCATCCATCATGCTGTCTACTCTTTGTTCCACATATCGGTCCAGTACAGAGATATCGGCATCAACACATATAAAACAGCAATGGAACCTATAATTATCAAGGCAACCCCAATTCTGCCCTGCCACAATCAAGATGTTACAAATTTTAAGAGCATGATGGTAAGATTAGTTTCGTTTCTACAACTTTGTTTTGGGAAGCGTCAATTCAAACAGTTGGAATTGGCTCAATGGATTCAACTCCCATTCTGTTCAATTATGAGCTAACTGGCTAAACCTAAGCTGCTGTGACATTAGTTTCGTTTATCCTTGGAAAAATTACTAGTTATACCTAAATCCAGAAATGCCCAGGAAGGGATGCAGATGCTTGCAGTAACTGATCTTCTTCAAGTAATAGATACTAGCATTTCAAAAAACAAAAAATTCCAATGTGCAGATGCATGCCAAGACACCGAGTAGCCAAAATGTCAGAATTTTGTGAATCATGCAAGGTGAAACTATAAGCAAAACAGAAATTTAAGACGATGGCCTAAAGGCCAAAAATAAAAGTACAAACAGAGAGATAGAGAAAGGATCGATATGTAAAAAGTGTAAGGATGAAAAAAAAAAAACAGAGTAAAATAATAGGCAATGGAGCTTTAGGGGCCACATATTTACTATTTATGGAAATAAAACTTAAAAGTGAGGTGAAATTGAAAATGTATAGATAGCATGCCCTCTGTTTAAAACACAAGTATTGATAACTACCCAAATACAAGACATTCGTTTTTCCGAAATCATAACAGCTGCCAAAATACTAATGGATCTTTCCTGGTATAAATATCTGAAACATTTCGAGAAAATGTATGATCGAGTTGAATGGCACAAAAGGATCCATATTGCTGATGCCAACAGGTTTGGATTGAGGTTTAGTTGTTGTTTGTAATGAAAAAATGTACAATAGCATGAGTATAAAAAAAGTAAGAAATACAAACCTCTGCAGCCTTTCCCTGATAAAGTTTGCTAGGGAGGATACCAGAGCGAGCATACAAATTTAGGTACTGATTGATCTGTATAGAAAAACCAAATTTAGAGATATCCAGAACAGTAATTTACTACCATATCGTTCAAGACAAATTACTAGATGATGCAGCTGAAAGGGAGATGCCAAATTTACAATAAAAAAGTTCCAAACAAATTTATTAGTCCTCCCAGGAGAAGACTTGTTCTTCGTGCATGGTTCGAATTTTCCTCCATAATTATGTTTCACAGACAATTCATCTAGGTAAAAAGGAAATGATGTGGGCAGAACAGCAAAATTTTCAATACTGACACAACAATTAAGTCTATGGAAACAAGATAGGTACAAAAAATTGCACATGTCTATATTTTGTTCGAGGACTGCACTCAAGTGACAAGTTGGAATCCCAACCTTTCTTTGGTTATTTGGGTGGAGTCTGTTTGCTGCAACAGGATCAAGTTCTTTAAGATAATCATAGCTATAATTGAAACTCTCTCTCACAGAATCAGGTGCATGATCAGTCTGCTCATCACCTGTTAACATATTAAGTACATAAATCACATTGCCAATTGATATTAATGCAGATTAGCCAATAGAGTAGGTGCATACCAGAAGGATGATTCAGAAAGCTTTCATCCAAATCATTTGTTGTATCATCTAGAAGAAATGGACTTACAAGAGCCTGAACAAGGTAAATAAATGGCACAGAGTAAAAAACAGCACGGCAGTTTTAAAAAGAAAATGAAAATGCAAAAGCTAACAATTTGTAATGTGAATATACTAAAAGGGACAAATCACCTTCTGGTCAGCCCAGAAAGGTCCTTGCCAGGGAATAAAAAAGGAAAGGAAGACCTTCATGCCAGTCCTTACTCAAATGACAATGTAAACATCATTACCTGGATATAGTAATTTGTACCTCCAACGATAACTGGCAAGCAATTGCGAGACAGTATCTCATTGATGAGCTGAAAAAATATAAACTCAAATCAGATCAAAACATGCACATGATCATTTAAAATAATGAGAAATACCTCATTATTACAGATGATCGAGTCAGGACCAATGGTTCAATCCATGATAGTTAGGACTCAGTACTATTTATCATTTGACAACTGCTGCATGAATTAGCAAGGCCCAAAGGATTACAACAGAGCCTTAACCGAATAACACAGTGACTTTTTAACCAACTAAATATAAGGGACTTGCATTGATCTATCAACTGTTGGTAACATGATACCATTTATTGCATAATTAACAGCTTTAATAAAGACCGGGAAAATCCCAAAAAGCACACAAAATTTCAAAAGATATCCACATTACCCAACTTTGAAATCCTATATGGCATATGCAAAGTACTAAATGCTCAGGAAGTAGGCAAAAGCAAACTCACAGGAATAGCTGAATCCCGAAAGTCCTTAGCAGTGAATTCCACATGTGGACTTATTGTCCCCAACAGATGATGTGGCACTCCTACATCCATTCACAAAATCATAATCAAATAAATAATAATATCAAAGAAATTTTCCATGAAAATGAAGACTGTTTTGAGGAAAATAAGGAAAGAAAAAACCAATTTCCACAACCTAGAAAAAGAGAGAACCATATGTAAAGAGAAATGAAATTCATGGGCAGAATAGTTGTTTGAAGATTACTGACAGTCCAATCTCTATAATCATAATCCAAATGTAAACGAACATCTTAGAAAAGAGATCTACTACCTTGCTCACTAAATAAGCGATCTATATTATCTTAGTTTTGTAGATGATAACCTAAATGTTTGAGTACAAGTTCCATCCTTTATCTATAAAATATAAAAAAATTTCATGCCGAGCATTTCGAATCATCTCATTCACAGTCATAAACTCTACACCCTGCAATTCCTGTCTCTCTCATTCAATCTAAGTAGTTTTGAACCTGGTCTAGCCTCTACCTCTACCTAACCACTAAGGTTTAAAATTTTGTAAGAAATTAGTGGTTGCTAAAGATTTTCAAGGAATCACACATAGGATGCAAGATTATATCATATTTTCAAAAACAACTAAATAGAAAAGAGAACTTGTAGAACATTTTTGCCAGAATATTAATCCTTCATTCCAGAGACGAAGAAGACAGTGTGTTTAGTTTAAAGCTATTTGTTTTTACAGATGTTCTTAAGATTGCTACCACTTTATCAAAAACTCTTTGCTTTAGTCATTTCATCAACAAATTTTATCTAATTTATTGCTAAACCTCAATGACCTTAACCTTTCTTTCCTTTTTTTTTTATTTTTTTTAAGGAATTTATAACCAAAACCCATTGAGCTTTTCTTGATTATAAGTGCAAATAATACTTCCATGGCTGTTAAACTTGTTTGAAATTATACGATAGTAAAAAATAAAGGCAAAGCAAAAAAAAAAAAAAAAAAGAATTGCCACTTTTGAAGTCATAAGCACAAACCATATATAAATATATAGAGAAACAAAGAGAACAGACCCTTTTGATCAGATAAGGGAACTTTGTTGGTGAGAACATCAAGACCACGGTAGACCTGCATGGAATCAGCGTTGATGATTTCAACAGGGAAGTGGGCTGCTAAATCAATGGCTAGTTTTGATTTTCCCGAACCAGTTGGACCAATTATTACTACCACTTTTGGCTTCTCTTCTTTTTCTTCTTTCTTTGTAACTCTTGTCCTTTCACCTCCATTGTTATTGCTAGGGTTTTGCAGAGCTTCTTGTGCAGCAGTGTCAATCTTCATCTCTCTGTGCCCCTCTCAGCTGGAAGCATCATGGTACACGACATGCCATGTAAAATATGTACTGGGTGGGTTGATGTGTCTCTTGGGCCTTATTAAATCATGTCCATTAGGAATAGTCTTCTTGTCTTTACCCAACCACAATAATATTTGGGCCTAAACCCAAACAAAACATTTGGGCCAATCATCTCAGTACCATCTTGAGATAATTAATGGAGAGGAATTATCGGTATCCCCATTCCCCAGTGCCACATAAAGCTTCCTCGGTCGCATGAAAATGAAATTCATAAATAATAATTATTTTTGCTGTTTCAAAGAACTGTTATGTTTTTTTAATCTTAAAGTGATTTTATATTCGAAATATTTAAGTCATATATTTTACTCTGGCACTTAATTAAATCTCATTTGTAAGAAACCTATAATTAAAAAAAATAGATATTTTTGAAAAATATAAATAAAAAATGATGACATGGCAAATAAATTAATGCTATTTAATACGTATAAAAAATCAAACATAATAATTTTTTTTTAAGATAGAAAAATATGATAGATTTCATTTTTATGTGAGTAGAAAAACCATATAAATACGTTACATTTATACTATATATCACATATGGATATAGTCAAATTTTTATAAATATTAGAATTCATTAGCCATTGTTGGGATGCATGGAAAGAAGTTATTTACCATAAAATCTCTCACATTCATGCATGACAAATTCATTTATAAAATCGATTAATCAATGAAAATTAAAGTAAAATTGAGTATTCCATAATACTTAATAACTTTTTTATTACAATATTTATGGTATTTTTATATGTCGAGATTAAATTTTTTTGATAAATCATCTGTATATATATATATATATATATATATATCCATATTAATTTAAGATATATATATTTTTATGCAAGACTGCAAATGCAGGATTAATGGTTGGACAACTGTAAAGTTGGCCTGTGCTTTATTGGGCAATAACACATGACTGCAAACAACTGAATTTGGTGGCACATCAATTTGATGATTTTGATAGTTGGCTTGTTACCGATACAATTTAGCTAGGAAATCCTCATGCAATTTCAGTTTCAAGATTGAACAAACATATCTTGAATTTGACTACAAGAATGAAAAAAGTCCAAATTTGACATGTGAGTAGTACCAAACCAGCTCTATGGTGGGTACTTCTGCCCTAAAAAAAAAATAAAAAAAAAATAATGTCCATGGAAAAACCACTGAAATTTGAAGATAAAAATCATAGAAATCACAAGATATACACCAAATTCAAGGACATGATTCTAGTGGCAACAAATCAATATAAAATGGCTGGCTGTTGCTGCTATTTGCAAAAGTTCAGCGCAGAGTTTCAACATTTTTGCTCAGTTCCTCCAATTTCTTCATCCTCAGTTTTTCACTTTCATTTACCAGCTGATATTAAAAAAAAAAAAAAAAAAAAAAAAAAAAAAAAAAAAACAGGAAGAAGAATAAAAATATTAGCAATTTTTAAATTGAAATTTAAGTAAATAAACATTATTTAAGTCGATAATTATAGACTAATATATTATATCTAATTACCTCCACTAATTTGGAAACAAGCTGAGATTTTTCCTTGTTCTTATCATTAAAGGCTTCAAGGGCTTCTTTGTATTCTCTCTCCTGCAATCGTATAAAGTTTTTGCTTCAATGCATAATTAACTAATATAAATTTGTGATCAAAGTTTTTTTTTTTTTTTGTTATGATTTGTCGATAAATGTTTTCTATTTCCTTAATATTAATTAAATTAGTTTCACAATAAGTATATTGTTTTTATAATTGCGCAAAAGAAAAAGTAGGAAAAAAAAAAAAAAAAACAAGACAACATTTTAATTAATTTCACCTTCTTCTGGCAACTCAGTCCTAGAGGCTTCAGGTCTCTGTTAACTGTGTCAATCTTCTTACGTACGACTGAAACTTCCTTCCTCATTGGATCTGTCAAAGCTTCAAGCTCCTGAAACATTTTTTTCCCTTTAAAAAACCTCAATAATAATCTCCCAAAAAATAAATAAATAAAGAACAGCAAATATAAATACATACTAATTATATAATAATGGAAAATTATTTTTTTTATTACAAAAATGTAATATTCATTGAATTCTGAAGACTTATAAACAGTAGAATAAAACTTACTTCACGAATTTCTGCTAAACGTTTAGTTGCTTCTTCCACTCGTCCTAGGTGAGCATGAACTTTGTCTTTGACTTCCATCTTCTTCTTTTCAATCTCTTCTTCCTTTGCCCTAAACATAGCCAATGCTGACCTTGAAATCTCATCATCCTTGTCATCCCTTAAAAGTGGGCTTTCATTGTAATTACTGATAATGCCTGAGTTCTTCAGCATTCTGATCTGCATTTGTGATTGTTGTTGCTCCAATGTTGGTTTTTGTGGTGTCATTTTTTAGCCCTTTGTTTCTCTTCTTTTTTGTAAAACTTGCTTCCTCTCTTCTTTCTTTCTTTCTCTCTGGTATGATTGCTTTCTTTCTCTTGTTGTAGGTGATAGTTATAAGCAAAAGCTGGCTTTAAAGGTGTGAAACCTGCTTGCTTACTTTACAACAATTAAAAAAATAAAAAAAAATGCTAAATTGAGCTAAATGACCCATTTGCCTAATCACCTTTAATCATGAAGGTAAAAAGAGGATTTCATCTTTGTTGAATGAAGACTTAACTTTGAAATATCCCCTTAACCTTCTTTTTCACCTTTACTCAAAATGAACATGATCACAAATTATGGTATTGGAATTATATTTTTGAGTACGTATAGTTAAATTTTCTAGATGGCCTCCGATGGACAGTTTCTTAAGTTGGTATCTTGACAAAATTATTTTAGCTAACTACCAAGTCTCATTTATATAGAGTAAATTATAAATTAGTCCCTTTTGTTTTGAAAAATAATTAATTAACCTTTTTATTTTAAAAACTAATTAATTGGTCTCTAATTTTAGAAACTAAATTATTAATATTTGAAAAGAAGGGGACTAATTAATTTGTTTCTCTAAAAGAGAGGGACTGATTTATAATTTAATGAATTTATAAAGACTAAGAAGACAAACATACGTAAGTTGTATTTTAGCGTAAATCATACAATCCTTGACGTGTCTTAAAGGCTAATGTCAAATGATAGTATATTAATTACATAGTACGTACAGCATTATGATCGTGTGTATATTTGAAGATTTAACGAACTATCATAGGCAATCAATTTTTTTCCAAATTCTTATAAATAATAATCCTAATTATGTAGATATGAAATAAATAAGTAAAAATTTTGGTTGAAGGGTCTTAAGTACAGGTAAATCTTCTTTTTCCTAAAAGAAGGGTGCTTTAAATGGAAGTTTTGTTTGTGGAGTGGACAGTAAGGGCTCACCTACACTATATGCAAACATTTTCTATTGACAGCCTTAGGGGACAAGACAGAGTACGAGATCGAGATTGCCAGAGCTAGCTTGCCTTTATTACATATCATCACCCCTCGATCCCATTTTTAAATTCCAACTTAGAATCTTCACCTTAACAATTCTAATCTTTTTGGTTTTCTATGTTTGCATGGCATATCAGTGGCTATCTAAAAATTTTATAATGTAATATAAATTACTCTATATAAAAAAAAAGACATAAAAATAAAATAATTATTATATATATACATTAGTTATTTTTTAAGTATTATAAAGTTTTGGCTCAGCAATTGTGATGCCGATTTGCTACAAATTTGGATCAACACATTCTTGGGCAATAGTTAATTTGGCGACTTTGTCATTTGTTTTGAAATTTCAAACAGAAAAGAATTGCAAACCATTGTGCTTAAATGTCTCCCAGTTATTGGGTTAGTATCAATTTTACCCTAAACAAATGTTTTTGTATCAATTTTATTCCTAAACAATTTTAATTATTCAATTGGGGCCTTATATTTGAATGCCTTAACAAAAAACGGTTTTTTTTTTTTGGTAAAAAAAGATACAATAATTTGATGATAAAATATGAATGAAAAAGCTTAATTAATGGAGAAATTTTGAAACTTGAAGAACTAAATTGAAACTATCTATATAGTTGCGGACCATTTTTGAGGTTTGAATTTTTTTTCCTTTTTGCCTTTAATTTAAATATCGTGGGGACTAGGGAACGGTCCATAACTTGATAATTCAATACATAGGAAAGTATCAACATTTGATGGCCATGACTTTCCAGCTGATAAGGTTCCTGTTTGTTGATTCAATCTATAAGCAAATTCTGCTAGCCCACTTTCCATTTGGTTTTCTTAACTGTGGTGCTGCTTAGGCCCACATTGATTTTAAGCTCAACAAATTTAACAGCCAACTGCAAACATCACCTTGTATCTTTAAGAACTCCAAAAGTTCTGAAGATTGCTTGGTGTCCCAAAATGTCCAAATGATGAGCTTTTTCTTTCCAAGTTCTGGGTTCTTGGGCCAGAAAGTAGAACTTTAGCTTTTGCGTTTTGGTTGGCTCTGTGGTATGACTTATGAGGCCAGTTCAAGCCAGAAATGATGGTGCATGCGTGCCTAATTAACATTTGGCCAGTTTTAGCTCCTTTTTTGTGCTGCTTTTTCAAATGGGAATTGCAAAGGCTAGATGTAGGCCAGCACTCTTAAATTGTTTTCTGTATATCGATTTGTTTTACAGACAGTCTTTTCTGTAAGTGTTAGCTAATTAATTAGTTGGTAAGGCTATTAACGGAGGTCTTTGAAGAGATCTACACCTGAAATAAAGAGGAACAGGAGAGAGGAGGTTAATTCATTGTTTTAAAGAGTCTCTTTGCTTATGGTGTCGTGGGAGTAAATTATACATTAGTCCCTCTAGTTTTGAAAGATGAATTAATTAATCTTTATGTTTTAAAACTTATCATTTACTCTCTTTTTTTGTCCATTTTATGTTTTTTTAAAGAAAAAATTAAATAGGTATTCTATTGATGGGAAAAATATATTTTTAAAAATAAAATAATATTAAATTAAACATAGTTAGCATTGATTAATAGACTAAATAATTAATTTTTAAAATAAGAGAAACTAACTAATTTATTTCTCGAAACTAAAAGGGCTAATTTATAATATACTTGGATAAATTGGAGATCAATGAAGGAGTTCCAGCCAAATTTTTTTTTTTTTAATTTTCATCCTCACTTTCATATTCATTTAATCTCTAGTTATTACTTTATCTATTAAACAAATAAGTTTCGAGTTCATACTAATTTAGTAGCACTTGAATTTTGTTACATGAATAAAAGTTCTAGGATTGATTTAACAAACAATAATTATTACAAATTTTTTTTTCGAATTTAGATCTAATTTCATTTGGAAGATCTAAAATTTAATATTCTCATAGAAATACATATTCCATTTCTATTTCTAAAAATTTATGGTGTGAAACTTGGAAAGGGTCTCAAATGTGTGTGAATTGCAACTACTTGGGTGCAGACACAATCTTGTTTCTTATATCCACTTGGCCCATATCTTAACAAGTGAAAAATGGGCGAGGCCCAAATCGGTTTTATGATATTCTGCTTACCAACGAAAGTGTAAGGCCCATACGATTTTTTTAACAACGAGTAATTCTTTAAGCACTTTTTTTCCTTCTCTTTTTTATTCTTTTAAAAAAAATTCTTTTAGATTAATGTTAATTACTGATTTCAGTCTAAAATTTTTTTGAGACATTCAATGAGAATATTATACATTAAATAAGTAAATCTTGTTAAAGAATCTCATAATTTTAATAATTAAAAAGTTTTCCTCATGCCATATTGGTTCTTTTTATTAATAGCATTGCAACTCAAAAATTCATTTTTTTTTAATAAAATGGAGAATATGTTATCATTAAATCATTTTTGTTGATTGCTTTAAACATTATCAGTGTCGCTTATCTATTATTATATCCAACACTTTTATCCATAAAAAAAAAGTTTAAAAAGGATCAGAAACTAATTTGGAGAGTATTATTCAACTAAAAAATAATAAACTTAGAAGGCTAAAAAACCTCTTTTTAGATTCTTTCATATTCATTTACTTCATAATGTTTCATCATGTATTTTTTTTTTGAAATTGACATTTTTTAGATTTAGTTCAAAATAAATTATCATGATTTAGTATATCTAGGGTAATAACAACTCAATAATTTACTGTTCTTTTTTTCTCCCACATTTTGATAAATTAATTTAAAATTAATAATGAAATTTGAAAGATAAAATAATTGGTTACTTGACAATACGAGAGTATTAACATAAAAATTCTTTAAAAATACAAACTCCTAATCAAACCAAACTAGACCCACGTGAGATCAAAAGTGTCATAACCAATCAAAAGAGTCAACTAGTGTCAAAAGAAAACGTTTGGTCCACGCAAAATCAATCAAAACGTCTTTTTAGCCTCCTCTACCCGTAAAATCCCAATCACAACGAAAGTCGAGAAAATTATAAACTAGTCCTATAGTTTTGTGAAATGAATTGAATAATTCTTTCAGTTTTAAAAATTAATTAATAAATTCGTTGACAAATGTTAATTGTATTTAATTTAATATTAACTTGATTAAAAAAATATCTTATTTTTCATCCATATTCTGATATTATTTACTTATTTTTATTTTCTTTTTATTAAAAAATTTGAAAAGAAACATAAAAGGGACGAAAATGACTATTAAATTATTTTTTGAAACTAACGGTACTATTTTGTTTTTTTTCAATATTACAGGAACTAATTTATAATTTACTCCAAAAATCAACCAGCCCATCGTAAAATCCACTGGGCATGTCCACACTGAATCCCAATTTCACCGCCCTTAAAAACCAAAGCGCACAATGTAAGACACCATCATCCCTGTATCCTTAAACTTCGAGACAAGCAAAGCCACAGCACAGTAGACCTCAAAATCTCATTCTTCGCTGGAAAATTAATTAAAAAAACAATATTTCGTAAGAATGATGTTTTTCTTTTTTGTTTATTTGGGTTTTTCTTTTCAGTTTAAAGAAATCCAATAAATAAAACCGTTTTTTTTTTTTTTTTTGCGGCGCTCAAAGCTGTGACCTTTTTCAATGAGAGAGAGAGGACACAGCGATCTCAGGAGACTTCTGTCTCCACCACGTCAGACGTCACGTTGTGGAAGATTAGACTGTGAGCTTGAAGAAAACCGCCGGTTTTCTCACGTTTATCAGTCTCGAAGTCCGGCGAGGAAGGAGAACTGTCGGCATGGAGATGTCAGAACTTGGTCTCCACCTCGAACACGGGAAGAAGTTGAAGGAAACAGGCCTTTTTCACGTTCTTATCGGTCTCCGAGTCCGGTTTGGTCGGAACGACACCGGTCCAGACTGATTGGGAGAGAATGCCAACAGCATGGCGATGTCAGGGTAAGAACCCTACCTCGAAACCGGGAAGAAATCGAAGGAAACTGGCGGTTTTCTCGTTCTCATCGGTCTCGAAGTCCGTTTAGGGCCGAACCTCACCGGTCTAGACAGGCTGGGAGCGAACACCAAGAGGATGGTAATGTCAGGACACGGTCTCCATCTCGGAACCGTGAAGGAAGAGTAACAGACCGGCGGTTTTCTATTTTAAACCAGCCAGCTGAACCGGACCGATTGGGTGATAGGCCGTTTAATGAAGAGAGAGGAGGGCATTTGGAGAAATTGTCACAGTTTTGTGAGACTTTGTCGAAGAAAGAATCGACCTTTAGCAAGTTTCAATGGGACAATTTACTAGCACAAGACAACAAACCCAAAAATGCAAGTGAAAGATCCGGTCATTTTGATGATTCTTGCAAAATCAGTGGGGTTGTTTCTGATTCTGGCGTGGTCCCCACATCCTTGCCAACGGAGAATGTGGGGCCAAGAACTCATTTTGGGTACTGTTTGGATGCCACAACAAGGGGTGGCAATCATGGGCTTATTGATGGTGGCATTGGTAATGTGTCTCCTTTTGGCAAACCTGTTAGTGAGAGGTTTGAAAGGAAAAGGAGTAGTCTTATTGACCCAACTGTGGACATGGTTGAAATGAATGATGCTTCTGTAGCAGGGTACCATGATGTCGAAAGGGTCAGGGTGCCACATTCAATGAGGCGAGAGGAGAAAGATATGAGAGATTGTAGGATTGATCGGGGAGGCTATGGGGTTTTATTTAGGGAGAGGGAAAATATGGGTTCACTGCCCATGGAATCCTCATGTCGGAACATGAAAAATGCCAGAGGAAAGACCAGCATTGTTGACATGATTGATGGAAATGGTGCTGTTCTTGGAGATCACACGAGGGAGAGCAGAATGTTGGACAATCATGACTGTTTTGGAGAAAGCTACCATTATGCTGAAGGGGTTAGCGTCTCGCATTCAATGGAACAAGATGGGAGAGATAAGAAGAAAGACTGCAGAAGTGATCCTGTGGAGTACGAATTTATTCAAGATAAGGATGTGTCTCATTTGAGGAAAACTTTTTTTAGTGAGGGAACGAATGTTGGTTCACTGCCCACGGAATCCCCATGTGAAAACGCCAGGGTTTTAAGGACAAGGACTTGCATTGTTGACCCAATTGCAGACATGATTGGTGGAAACGATGGTGCTCTTAGAGAGAGAACGAGAACAATCAGGATGCCGGACAATCATGGTTGTTTGCAAGAAAGATATGTTGATGTTAGCCACGTGTCGTCATGGTCATTCGAGCAAGACGATAAAGATGAGGAAGCTTTGGTTTCCAGGAATGACAATATGTACTCTGAGATGGAAGAGGGTTTGGATCCTAAGAACTTGAAGTCAACAGAGGACTGTGGTTTTGAAAGAGGAGATGGATATAGGAGGTTGACTGTGTCATACGATGGACTGTATGTGAGCGAGAATAGTCCGCAAAGGGTGGTCATGGGAGAGGAGACTGGTATTGGTGTCCAATCAGAAATTATGCGCGAAGGACAACTTATTTTTGACATGGAAGCGAGCATTCATGACCAAAGAAGTGTGTTATCTTCTAATTGGAATGACTTTGAGCAGATGCATGATGTGAGCTATGAAGATGGAGAGTGGATTAATCCAGATAATGAGCAATATTCATTATCGGAGAACTCAGGATTGAGGCATTTACGAAGTGGGATGGACGAATGGATGATTGATGGCACGGCAAGCCATGAACATGCCTATTCCTTCAATCCACTACCATCTACAGATTTATTACCATCCGATAATAGGCATCCAAGCAAGTCTGTTGAGCCTCCTAAAAGCAATGTAAAGCAGCGTTTGGGGCCTCTACGAAATGTCAAGCAGCGTTTGGGGCCTGCTCCAAATGCATGTAAGAGCTTGGGGGCTGCACAAAGAGCTCAGAGGAAACTTCCTTGGCTTAAAATATATGAAGAACGATGCCTGGATAATTATGATGGAACTCTTCATATTCAAGGACTGAAATCCTCAGAGAGGTTGAAGAAACATGCAAAGACTGAGGCACCTAAGGACTCTGATGAGTTCATGCAACTGGTTCACAGGGCTTTCTTAAAGTTTTCCAAACTTTTGAACGAGAATTCAGCGAACAGAAGGAAATACCTGGAGAAAGGAGGAAATGATAATCTGAAGTGCTGCGTATGTGGCAGGTTTGTTGTCTACATCTTTTAAGTTCCTGATATTGGGGAAACTCTTTTGCTTCTGATTGGTTTTAAATATTGCTTTCAATTGCGTTCAACAAAGTATTCATTAGTTCTATTTTAAAATTTGATACTGCTTAGGAATCAAGTTTTGTGAAAGTTTAATTTTAGTCCTTGCCATCTGGATTTCAAAGTGCTTGATGCTTAATTATTGTAGATTTTAGCAGTATTTGAGTTTGGTGAGTAAGTATTGTATGTAACATGCAATTTAAGGATGATTGAAACTATCAGCAGAGTGCACAGAGGAAGATTCAGATTGTCTGTTTTGTAGTTCTACCATGATTAATGAAATTAACAAGGACACAAAAAAGGTTGGAGAAAGGGGAACTAAAAGTTTTTTCTTCTAGTGTTTTTTCAAAATGGTGAAAAAGGTTAGTTGGAATATATGATACTTGATGTAAGAATGGCAGTATTACAGTTTGAGAATCATGGATTGCGCTCATGCACGGATTGGAAGGTACAGAAAATGAAGGAATCTGTAACGGAGGCCATTTTAAAGTAAAAGGGACGGGTTTTTAATCTAAGTTCTCTTTACTCTCATGGTAACTTTTATATAGCTTTCAATTAGTGAAAGATAACCTTAACCAGCAGCTTCTTTACTTCCCTCTGGGTTCCATGCTGGTTCCTTGGGGAAAGCTGTACTTGTGAAGAAGTGTTAGGTGATAAGTAGTGGCATCTATCTCCTTTGCACATAATGGCAAATATAGTTTGATGTGAGTTTCTCTTTCTCTCTCTATTTTAAGGCTACAATAAAGCTCCCTCCACCTTTTCTATAGATCCAGTGGTTGAGAAAATGTAGCCATTTATGTATATAAGTTACTTAGTAGTTGTTGGAAAAATTTAATCACTGCTGGACTTTTTTATTTCTGTCTTCGTGCATGATTTGTGCTAGTTGCCTATCTGAACTGCTGTAGGAATTTCAGCATGCTGAGCATTTGATGACTCGTCTATATTTTATTTTTTAGTTGTGGTTCAGAAACTTTTGTATCTTGTGTAGGATTCCTTCTTCCTTTAATGCAGGATGTAGCTTATTTTCTGAGGTTCTTGCAAATATCTAGGATAATTGTGCAACTGGCGGTTCACAGATGCATTTTTAATTGGCAATGACTATTTCAAACTGATTCATAGAGATCTAGTGGTGCTTCTAAGCGTCCTGTATGCTGTTCTTTTTGGTTTCATTTTTCCATCTAATTGACTGCGTTACTCATTTGCATGCTCTCTCAGCAACTCCAAAGACTTTGTGGACACATTAAGCTTGGCACAACATACAGTCATGTCTTGTAAGGGCAGTCTCAGAGCAGAACATTTGGGTCTTCACAAAGCGCTTTGTGTGTTGATGGGATGGAATAGTGCTATATTCCCTAACAGTCCATGGGTTCGGCAGATATTGCCTGATCTCGAAGCCTCGTCACTGAAGGAGGACCTCATCATATGGCCTCCAGTTGTTGTCATCCACAACAGGTCCATAGCAAATGGTAATCCTGATGATCGGATTATTGTAAGTATTGAAGGGCTCAGGGATATTCTCAGAGGTAAGTGGACTTCTTTAACTGTTGTAGTTCCCACATTTTCTAAATGATTCTCATTGCGCCATGTTCTGGAGGATGGCAAATGTTTTCCGTGTACTGCTATCTAATAGAAAACATGTTTTCTCATGACATTCACTTTTTCAACTCCCTTTTCTGTTCAACGTTGCTAGTATTTCATATGATCTTTCCTTAATTATTTCTTAATTTCCCAGATACCATCCTCTTTCCTACGATCTTTAACCCTTTTTTGTTTTTCCCCCATCTTCATTTAATATGATAAAATGATTTTTTCTCAAACAATAATAAATGTTTAGCTGTACTTTTTTTGTTATTTCTTAAGATTCCTTCGGACATTTTATTTTACTGCCACTTGAACCTCCAAATGATTTTCAAGTTCCCCATTTCAGTTTTTGTCGTGATTCTGTCATGGTATCAAGAATCTGAAGGAGAATGTATAGAGTGTCTATGCAGAACCATTGTGCTTGTCATTTGGCAGGTTTTACATGGATAAGTAGGTTCGGAATTGACTTGATACACTTCCGACATTCACAAAAGCTTGCTTTTTTGGCTGATCCCAAGAAATTGCAATGATGCTTGTTGATTGTGTTGCAAGGCATCTGTTTTACTTTATGTGATTCATTGTTTTCTGTCTTTTTTTTTCCTTGTTTTGGCTTTCTAATCATAATTGCAGGGATGGGGTTTGGTCAAGGCATGACCAATGTCTGTCGTGGCAAAGCTGCAAATCAGAGTACTATGGTGGTCATCTTCAGTGGGACTTTTTCTGGGCTGCAAGGAGCTGAGAGGCTTCACAAGCATTATGCTGAGAGCAAACGGGGAAGGACTGAGTTCCAGCAAATTGGTTTAAGCGGCTACAATCGCAAGAGCTTGCGAACTGAAGAAGCGCCATCAAACACAATAGAAAATGTTTTATATGGCTATTTGGGAATTGCAATTGACCTAGATAAACTTGATTTTGAGACCAAGAAACGATGTGTTGTGAAGAGCAAGAAGGAGATAAAGGCTGTTGCAGACTTTTCTCTGAACGCTGAATGTGGAAATTGAATCTGTATAAAATAGGGCACAGATGAAGAGTCAGGTTTTTAACCTTTTGATTTCTGTTCAGTGCAAAACTACACAATTTACATGGTTTTTGATCTTTCCTGGCAAAGAAATGGATGTGCTAATAACATGAAGCTTAAAGGGAGAGAACACTGTGTTACTTGAACATCTCTCATTTATTCTTCTGAATCAAAAAATTCGATATCAAAATTGGTAACTACAAATATATAGTTGTGATGATGGACAAGAACACAGAAGACATATTAGACACAAACAACCAATACATATGTTACGGAAATATCAAGACTGAGAGGTGTGGACTTTTAGCTTTCCTCTCTCTGACTCTTTGACTGGTTATGAAATCGGGAACTCCATTGTTTTATGCATGAACTACGATATTCACAGGCTATGAACTTTCTAGGGCACAACAGGATTCATCATCTCCTTCGGAAGTTAAGGAACTTGATGCCATATGCAAAGACGAAAAAGAAGAGGAGGACCCAACCAATATGGGCTAGTACTACAGGTAGGAGGAACTCATGATCATAACCCAAGTACTTCTCGATGAATGCCTTTAATGGTAGTGGTTGTGATTCAGGAATTTCGAGGAGAGTATTTTTATCGCAAATTTGTGAGGTGAAAATGCCGTAAATGGTCCAAGCAATTGGAGAAGCCCAGTAGTACCACCTCCACCACATAGGAATCAGCTGGAATGATTGAGTATAAGGGTTAAGAAAGCAGTAATCAAGGAGGTAATTGAAGACTAATGCATCATGAGATATTTCACAGATCATGTAAAGAAAATTGGGGGCAACATTACACAGAATTTTCAAGAAAAACTTGTTTTTCGAGTTTTCTAGATATATAAACTTCGAGTTTGAACTTGCTTACCGGCCTAGCGATGAGATATCCAGAGAACAAGTTCCAGAAACTTATGAAGAAGGACATAACCACCGCAGCGATTTCAGGGCCAGGAGTTAGGGCAAGAACCATCATCCCGTACATGGAGAAGTAGGTGAAGCTCATGAAAATGAAGTAGTAGAAGTACAAGAACTTGTCCACTTTCCATTCAAACCCAATCATTGAGTACAAAAGAAGAGAATATAGAAAAGTTTGGATTGAAACATAAATTATTTCTATAGCCACCTGCAGCAGAAATGTGTATGCATCAATAACAGATATGGAAAAAGCCTCTCAAGTTATTTTTGTAACAGAGAAATAAAAATGTGTTGCACGAAATAAATGATTTCAGTCTCTTACATGAGCAAAAGCATAAGGCAACTCTGAATACATCCCCGCGGCTCTTTCACGGTAGAAAACTGCTCTCTCAGTTGCTACGACGGATTGTACAGCTGAAGCATTGGTGGCTCCAAGGAAAAGAACAGCAGCATAACTTGCTCCCAGAAGATTAATGAGATCATTTCTTTTGTATCTGCCAGCAATAGGAAGAACAAATTGTACTTCTTATGTACCCTTATCCAGGTAACAGTGGCATAATGACTTGCGAAAATGTAATTCAAGATAAATAACTAAGCATACATTTGGTCTCCTTTGCTCCAAAAGACGAGACCAAGCAGAATACCAATTATGATTGCTACAACGAATCGGGTATAATTGAATTCTGAGTTTCGCCAGTAGGACTTGTGTTGTTTCCAGAAACAAGCCTTGCATTGAGTTATAAAACTTTGGGAGTATTGGGTGGGGAAAGAAAGATCCTTAGAGCTTGGCTGCGGGCTACTAAGTCTTCTGATGAGTTCCTGATTTTTCCTGAGGAAGCGTGAGCAAGATTATGAGAAAGATCACCGGCCACTCTTATAAATAGGCGGGATGAAGTAGAAATTGATAATTTGATATCACTTACTGGTAAAGTTCAGAGCTGGCATAAACTTCTGCAAAATCAACTTGAAGTTGAGCTTCTACCGCCTCGGAGCTGATCTCCAGCATCCATGTAGCAGGATTAGAGCCTTGTTGGATCTTAGGAACCCCTGGAACAGCCTGCTAGAGATTCTAGACATTAGCCAACTTGGACATTTGCAGATATAGGACTGCAAATTGTAGGAAAATTAAGCAAGGATTTTGTTGGGAGTGTTTTTCTTGTATTTCAACGGGAATTCTTGAATTTATGGTTAATCTAAGTGGAGACAAACTATATGTAACTCCAACTTGATGGTGAAATTTTTTATAGGAAAGAAAGCATATAATGAAAGGAAGACTCACCTCAAAATATTGCACAAGCTTGCGAGAATCGCGACCAAGAGGACCAGCATATATCACTTGTCCTCCTCTTTTCATCAATAAGAGCTGCAAGAAGAAAACAAGATCATCATGAAACAAGTGCCACCACAGATAAAGCATTTTTCAGATAACAAATTCAAATGGAAATATACTTCATCAAAAGTTTCGAAGATGTCAATGCTTGGCTGGTGAATGGTGCAGACCACTGTTCGCCCTGTATCCACCATATGCCTTATAGCACGCATAACAATCGCAGCAGCTCTAGCATCAAGGCCTGATGTGGGCTCATCCATAAAAATGATGGAAGGATTAGCAACCAATTCTACAGCTATTGTGAGTCTCTTTCTCTGCTCGGTTGAAAGACCGTCAAGTCTTGGAAGTCCTACCAGAGCATTCATCAGTGGCTTAAGCTCAACTAATTCCATAACTTCATCGATGAACATCTACACAAAAGTCAAAAGATAGAAACAAAGGATGAATTGTTAGAAAATAAAATATTGGTTCAATGTGAGAAAAACCATTTCAAACTGATTAAAAGAAGTAAATGAAGGGATTAAGTGACATGCCTTTTGTGTTTCCTTCTTGACATCTGCAGCAAGACGCATCGAGGCAGAATACTGGATAGATTCATAGACAGTAACACATGGTGAGTGGATGTCGTTCTGTTCACAATAACCGCTGACCCGAGCAAATGTGGCTTGGTTCTTTGGGTATCCAGAAATACTTATACTTCCTTCAATGTACCCCACAATCTTCCTTCCTGCCAATACATCCATCAAGGTGGTCTTCCCAGCGCCGCTGACACCAACTAATGCTGTCAGAGTACCTGGCCTAAAAGCTCCACTCACATCTTTTAGTAGCTGCAATCGGTTTTTCTCAGTCCCTTGTTTCTTCATTTCCTAGTAAATCCATGAATAAATCTATATATTTCAATAAGTGTCTTCTTGTACATTTACATGAATCGAAAAAATTAGGAGTTATTGTACATGACTTACTGCAGGCATATCGACATAATAATTCACATTGTTGAAGGCAAGTGAAAGTTGCTGAAAAGGGAGGACCATTCCCTTTTTATTTTGCTTGTTTACCATCTTGGAAACTTTGTATCTCCCCTGGGAAATTTTCACTGTCAGGACAACAATAATACGATAAGTAGTTGTTGAAATATGGTTGAGAGAGCGAAAATTATGGCAAAGCTAGCAGCAAAAAGCCAATTCTTCATAGGATTAGGGGATGATTAACAGGGTGATTATCAAGTGAACGTCAGGTTAGAGATGATATTTCTTAAAACACCAACCTTCAGAACTAGGTGCCAGTTTCCGCTTACTAGCATTTTCTGTGTCATCATCCGCAATTACAGCTTTTGAATCGGCAGGAGCTGATGATGAGTTGACAAAAAAATGAATAATCAATATTTGAATGTCATCCAATAATCTTAACAAAGATACTAAGTGAAAAACAATTAACCTACGGTTCAAAAATTCGAGTGCCGCAATGAAAAGAAAATTGAAAATAATAGAGAATCCAAGAAGCACTCCAATGCAAATCCAATACCAGTATTCATCCGTAAAGAAGCCCCTTTCCTTAAGAAGGGACTTTCCAATGGTGGACTCACTGGGGTTGCCGGTGAGCTGTGCCATACAGACGAGTGTTAGCAACCCTAGATAGCTCTGAAAGGATTTGAATCTAATAAAGGTAAGTATTCACAAGAGTTTTCATTTGCTTTGAAGAACTCACATTGCCCCATCTGTCGTCGAGAAATTCATTGATAGAAATGGCATTTTGGCCATACATTATAGGAGACAGATAGTAGCCCCATCTCATCCATGAATCTATATCATCTGCACAGAAACAAGGAAAAGATCCAAACTATTATGCATCAAAAGTTCCAGTTACTGAGATTCCATAAAATTCAGGTGTTAGATTGGAATATGCTTCAAAATAATGTAAACAGTGAACAAAAACGACTAATCATTACCTTTGGTGATGATGAAACCTCCGAAAACAATTACAGTCACCATAGTAAAGAAACCAAGTATGTTTGCAACAAGCAATTTTCTTCCAGCTACTGCTATGAAACGGTATAGAGATAGAGTCATCTGATATGTACTGAAGAAAGCCAAGAGCTGTTTGAAGAACCTGAACACAACAGTCCTGTGTTAGAAGAAGAACCTTTGTCTTCATGATTGTGCTTTTATAGAGATCATTAGGAAAAAGGACTGCACTTGCCTGCTGGCAGCTGGAGCAAAGCCAATGGAGTAATACGTGAGAGTAACCCAAATCCCAGATTCAATCAGTGAGACAGGAATGCTGAAGATACAAATAGGCAAGCCAAAAGCCCATGCAGGGTAGAACATGGAATTCCTCTGCTTAAAGAACACAGGAAGTCTGAAAACTGTCATTGTAAGTTCTATCATAGCATTGATTATGAAATTAGTGAGACCGAAGAACAGTGCTCCCCAAAAGTTTGCTGCACCATTCTTTTGTCCAGCTTTCCCTCCAGTTTTTGAGAAAGCAGTAAATGCAATTATGGCAATGATTGTTATTTGGGTGATTTTGAAAATGGAAACAATAGAGTTGCGCTTCATCAGCAGCCATTCCCTTGAAAAGCATGCCTTGAAGAGTTCCCAGTTGGAGATACCATACTTTTCTCTGACTAAAGCATCAGAATGGACTCTAAATTTGTTGAAAGGAACTCTTAGATGTTCTGAAAGCTGTATGCCAATGCGAAAAGAATTAAAGGCACGCACAAACTTAGGTACTGAAAC